GTAAGGCTCGCTCGTTTTTTTTGCATATAATATAGGTAAAGTCAAAACAGAATCTCGTGTTTTAATACCCCTTATTTGTTATTTAAGGCAGTCGCATATACTACTATTACGATACAGCTAGCAGTAATGGGGACATTAATAGGCTCGTAATGTGATGTGTGCGTGTGTGTATGTGCGTGTGTGTATGAGCGTGTGTGTATGTGCGTGTGTATGTGCGTGTGTGTATTTGCGTGTGTGTATTTGCGTGTGTGTATTTGCGTGTGTGTATATGCGTGTGTGTATGTGCGAGTGTGTATGAGCGTGTGTGTATGTGCGTGTGTGTATGTGCGTGTGTGTATGTGCGTGTGTGTATGTGCGAGTGTCTATGTGCGAGTGTGTATGTGCGAGTGTGTATGAGCGTGTGTGTATGTGCGTGTGTGTATGTGCGTGTGTGTATGTGCGAGTGTGTATGTGCGAGTGTGTATGTGCGAGTGTGTATGAGCGTGTGTGTATGTGCGTGTGTGTATGTGCGTGTGTGTATGTGCGTGTGTGTATGAGCGTGTGTGTATGTGCGTGTGTGTATGAGCGTGTGTGTATGTGCGAGTGTGTACCATCTTTAAATTCGTAATACGAATATTTCGACATGAGTGTAGATAAATGCTTTTTTTCAATTTACAATGTATGTATTTTGTAACTATGTTCAGGTGGAATCATACAAGCTACGAATTAGAATTGATATGGAAATATTACTCTTTAACAAAGACCGCTAATCATGGTCCCAAACTAATACAACTAAACTTTAATAGATACAAGCGACATGAACGGACAGAAAAACAATATTCGACAAATCCAATATCTGCAAATGAAGTTAGCTATCCATTCATTGCGTAAGATGAGAATTTCAAACGGAAATCCCAACCAATCCCATGATGGGCGTGTTGATCGCATTTCTTTCCCCATCGTTTGATCGCAGTTTGCGTGGAACCTGTTTTTTTCTAAATGGCTTCGCACGGCTTGTGCATTAAGCCAATGTCAAGTGTTAAAATGTTTACAAATTCTATAGCACTCGTGGTCAAAGTAATAAATCAAGTCAAAGTAAGTGGCAGTCAAGTCAAACCCCCTTTCCCTTTGTTTCAGTAACTGTGTGGGAATTTACTGGAACCTCCCCGTGGACTTCTTGAGGGAGACACTTCGAAAGACACTTTCCACTATTTTGTTTCACTTGCCAACACTCACAATTCCCGAACACTTAGTGGTTACTAATCCACCATTGCAGACGACGGGGCGGGGCGGGCCGGTCAATTTCGCCGCGAATAATAGCACAAAGTGAATCCTATACTTCAAACGCACACAGAGGGCAAAAAGACCGCGCCTTGGGTGCCCGGCGGGCAGTGGCGGCGCGGCATGTCCGCGGCTGCCCGCCGTGGATCATACAAACCAGTTTATATGCAGTAACGCAGACGGCGGCGCGGGGCGGTCAGCTCAGTCCGCGCCACGCGCTTTTTAGTGATGGACTATTCACTAGAACGAACGTTCTGAACTGACCGCCTCTGCCCGTCGTGTGCTTTGTGTACGCGGCGCGTGCAGCCGCAGACATCGACGGGCAGACGCGGTCTTTATTGCTTCGCGGACAAAAAGCCCGCCCCGCCCCGTCGTCTGCTTAGCGCCTTATTAGATACTAACATCCGCCGCTACACAATTTTTAACAAGAAAAACAAAACTGCTAAAGTGACGCTACCCGATCCCGCCAAAAAGTCAACCTTTTTTTAGCGTTGCTTGCAACTCAATTTTGAAGCATAGTATCTTTGTCTTGGATGACTATGCATGGTTATTTGTCATACCAGTACATTTTGATGCAAACTGTCTTATTCTGAACCATGACAATGACTATGCTATTTTAGCCATCTACCGTTCGCCATCATATTGTAATTTAACAAACTTCTGTGATAATCTTGACCACTGTTTGTCATCCTTGAATATGGTTAAATCGGTAGTTTTAATCGGTGATATAAATATTAATATCTCCACGAATAATTCAGAAACCAACAAAAGCCAATATCTAGATTTGATGGCACACCATGGACTTCCAGGCCACACTTTCCCAACTCGAAATGAAAACTGTATAGACCATGTTATGGTGAGATCAGATAAAAGTTCCACCACTATTGTACTAGACTCCCTTATAACTGACCACTCTCCTTTACTATTCTGCCTTGACTTGAAGGTCCGAAGAAACAATTGTAAGAAAACGTACCTAAAAATTGATTATGCCTCAGTTGTCAAAGACCTTTGTAACGCAGATTTCCATGACGTATATAATACTGTTGACGCTGATTTGGCGGCGGTCGCGCTGACAAATACTATTGCTGAAGTTATTCGGGTCCACTCTTGTGAAATTATCATGCCACATCGTATGCGTCCTATCAAGCCATGGCTAACATCTGGACTTCTGCGCTGTATCAGAACTCGTGATAAACTTCACAAAACATATAAAAAAGATAAAGGCAATGCTATACTTTCAATTACATACACGAGATATCGTAACTACTGCAACAATCTATTAAAAAAAATAAAAGTAGAATATGAAAAGGCTGAATTAAATAAAAACAAGAAAAACCCAAAAGGAATGTGGCAAGTCATTAACAATATCACAAATTTTAAACAAACTACTCAGCGCTGCAATGACCTACTTAACTTAGACTCTGACCCATGCAAATCCGTACAGGTAGTTAATGAATATTTCGCAGGAGTTGGCGCAAGACTGGCTAAGGATATTCAAAAAACACAAAAAACTAGGAAAATACCAAATGCAAATTGTGATACAAATTCAAACAGAGACTCGCTAGTATTGCTTGAAACTGACTTTAAAGAATTAAATAACATTATTATCAAACTTAAAAATTGTGCTTCCAGAGGTGCTGATAATATTTCAACAAAGATTATTAAAGAAGCGAGAGTTAGCCTGATTCCCCCACTGACACATCTTTATAATCTATGTTTGGCTACGGGTACTTTTCCTCATGTTATGAAGCAGGCTTTAGTTCACCCTATTTACAAACGTGGCGATAGAGACCGTGTCGATAACTATAGACCGATATCGGTGCTAACGGTTCTTTCAAAAATATTTGAAAAGGTCCTAAATAGTAGATTAATGAGCTTTCTTTTTCATAATAAAATAATTTCAGATAATCAATTCGGGTTTGTAAGGGGAAAATCTACAGAAGATGCAACTTTACTTTTAACGGAGACAATTGTAAGGCATCTTGATGATGGGAAAAAGGTATTGGGTGTCTTTTTGGATCTTTCCAAGGCTTTTGATACGGTCTCTATCCCTCTCTTACTACACAAGTTGGAAGTGATTGGTATTCGAGGCATAGCCTTAAACATGTTTCGCAGCTATCTATCAAATCGCACACAGAGTGTAAAGATTGGTGACTATATTAGCACTCCCACAACCATCTCTTTTGGAGTACCTCAAGGCAGCGTCTTGGGTCCGACTCTCTTCCTGGTGTATATAAACGGTTTATGTTCAAAAACATTGCAAAATTGCCAAGTCATCACTTATGCTGATGATACAGCTCTGATCATTCACGGGAAAGACTGGGAGGATGCAAGACGATTAGCGGAACATACTCTAAGAGATGTAATACAATGGCTAGATGATAATCTACTCACCTTGAACTTGAGCAAAACTAGCTACATTACTTTCGCTCATCGTATGTCTAATGTTCCGGGTCCTGATTTTTCTCTTGTGCCCCATACTTGTGATAGTGATATTTCATGCGAATGTATTCCTCTGATACGCCTCACAAATTTGAAATATCTAGGTCTTACCATTGACACGTCTTTAAGTTGGTCAACTCACGTAAATAACCTAACAGGTCGACTTAGAAAACTAACCGCTATTTTTAGAAAGCTAAGGGCTTCAGCGGACTCCCAAACCTTAATGAGTGTATACTACGCTCTCATCCAAAGTACACTACAATATTGTATTGTGGTGTGGGGTGGTATTGGAAAGGGTATCTTACTCCCGCTTGAGCGTGCACAGAGGGCTATACTGAAAATCATATATAGTAAACCTCGAAAATACAGCACCTCTCTTCTTTATAGGGAAAGTTCTGTACTTACAGTTAGGCAATTATATATACAATTGTCGGTACTTCGAAGACATAAATACCTTAAATACAAACCCATCACAAAGCGTGTAGGAAGAAATGTCTGTATGATTGAACCACATAGATCTACCCTTGCTCGTCGACAGTTCTACATCAGTGCATCTCAGCTTTATAACTTGGCAAACAAAAAACAATAATGTTTATCCACTAATATATATTAAGTGTAAAGAAAAACTCAGGGACTGGCTTCAAAACCTGAACTATATGGAGACAGAAAATCTTCTATCTGTTGTTAAATAAATCACCCATATGCTACACACACACACACACACACACACGCACACACACACACACACACACACACGCACACAAACATACACACACACACACACACACGCACACAAACACACACATACACACACACACACACACACACACACGCAAAAGCACAGTCGGTATAAAACAAAACAAAATTTAAATGTTTTCTTATTTTTGGTTAGTTAGGTACTTTAGATGGTTTAAATAAGGTTAATTATTGTGCATCCCCATGACAAAATATCATGGAAGGAGTCGCTGACGGTTGTGACACAGTTAATACTAGTACAGCCGTCAACGAACCTCTTATATGTAAAAAAATATTTAAGATTTAATTCCTCTAATTAGTATATAAGAGCAATTGTAACTTTTAAGATAAATAAACCATTATTATTATTATTATTATTTGTGTGACGTCATTCTAAATCCAACATGGCGGACTTTTTGTACGCGGTAGGTACTTTTAATATCTCGTGTGCGTTACTAGATACGGTTGTAAGTGTTTTATTTAAAGTCCCTCGTCATCGCAGTCCTTTACAATGATACAAGCTAAACTATTATAGATATGATTTTCAAAAATAAAAGACGGAATTACTAACATTTTTTTATTATTCAGAGATCAACTCTGTAATTTTTTCTAAAAGAATTAGGTAATATTAATTTAATTATGACAGAATCAGCATTATGACGTCACATTCAAGTAAAACTTTAAGTCAATACATAGTTCACATAGAATAAGTTCATACATAATTACAAAAATACAAGTCAACCGCACTTCGGCTGTTTATAAACAAGGCACTTAATAGTATCGGTTACAATACAAATTTAAATTCTAAGATTCGGCACATCTGCATTTCATTCAGTCTGAAAAGAAGGAAATACCATATTAAATAACATTCAAAATAATATACTTAAGGCTGTTTTACGCCGGGGCAACACTGTGCGGCATTGCGGCATACCACACCAATAAATTAATATTTTACAGCTCAACCCTTTGAAAATTATCTTAGCATGACGTTGCGCCGGCCTTAAATAGGCTGCTGAATGTTGCAAATGAAGCAGAATTAAAATAAATAACCTACGACAAAATATATAGCAGGACGCACTGTCGCATGTTGTCGCCACGGCGTAAATCAGCCTTTACTATCCGATTATAATGTACCGCAAATAAATACAGGCTGGTCCAATTAGTGACGTCAATAAATTTTTTTTAGATTCCTCGCACCTGAGGGTATCCGAAAATACCCGAGTTTGTTCCGCGATTTATCTTAGTTTTCGAGTTCCGATTCTTTTTGTGTATTTTTAATAATTTCTGCCAGCGAGGTTTCAAAAATTCATATCTTTTTTCGTAGGAGGTATTTTGCAGTCTTTTTTTTGTGACATAATTGTCTTGAATGTTGTTTTAATAAAAAAAAAATGGGTGCGTGTACTTATGTAGGCGCGTGAGAAGTTATCCTTCTTTGGCATCGTTTAAAATTAGTTTTTAATTGCATGCAAATAATTAATTACAATAAATTAATAAAAAGTCTGGAAAAGGACACAGTCAATAAGGTTCAGTTTTAATTGAAAAAATAAATAAATAATCAAAATATTCAATTAAAATCGCTACTGAATATAATTTATTAGAACATATGTGATTTGCACTTGTATGAAACTCAAACACGTATTCCGAATATACAAACTAGAAACATGTGGATAAATATTATAAATATGAATACCTATAACTGTTACTTTATTACAAAAAATAAAGATGTGGTTTTTGGTTCTACTACACCAATGGTCAAGAGATGGCGCTGTAGTCTCCTGAATCGCGCTTTGGTTCCGTTGTTCCAGATTAATAAATACTTTTGATAGGCCTTCACAATGCAGTCGTTAGCACCCACTAAATAGAGATTCTATTTCTATTTTGTTGGTAGATTTTCTTAATGTGCGGTAAACACAAAAGTAACGTTACATTAATATTTTGTGTTACAGTGATGCGCGCGCATCTTAAAATTTCACTCTCATCATTTTTTCATAACGCGCCTAAAGAGGTATAACTTCAATAACTTCAAAAAGAACTCAGCTTCCTGAAATTACTTAAAGTTTCAAAAAAGGCTTGAAAGTTGGAACTTTAGTTTTTAGTAAGATTTACTCAAACATTCAACTTCAATTTAAAAATAAAAAAAGGATTTTTCATAGCTTCTGACTAAGTTCAAAAGCTCCGCATGCTTCTAAACTACCAAAAATCATAAAATAAAATGTAATTAATTAGCCTATTTTTGTTGTAATTGGCCTTCGAAGGCGAATAGGCAAAAAATCATTGAAACACGATTAAAGCATTAATAATTACTTTACCTACTTTTTATCATTGTTAAAGAAACTAAGAAAAATCGCGGAACATACATGGGGTATTTTTGGATACTCCCAAGTGCGAGGAATCTAAAAAAAATTGTTGAAGTCACTAATTGGCCCAACCTGTATTTCCTGTATTTGTCTACAGGATTTCTTTTTTTGTTATACTCAACACCTTTCAATAGGTGATAAGGCGCGATATTGATTGAATTTTTAGTGTTTGTACTTCCTGGCACGATCATGGATGTTTTTCTAATATCTTTAGATGGTAAAAAATTGCCAAGATTTTGTACTATTATTTACCACTGTTTTGAACATTTCGATTAATTTATCCAATAAATCTCGCTTTATACCCATTCAATACGTGTTTTATTTAATTAATGGAAGGCGTGAAAACACAAGAAATATGTAAGTATATTAAAGAAATGACACTATTTAACATTCTAAAACAAAAACACCGCATGTACCCACCTTTATTTAAACTTTGTTTATTCTGAAGTTCCCTGATCAGCGGGAAAAAAGTAACTCTTCTTCTTCTTCACGTATGTGGCGTCAAGGTGTCCTCTGTCGAATGAGAAATTGGTATGTTTTCAAATTTAAACATATTATAAAATAGACCTATATTGTATGAAAAGCACAGAACACAGAAAGAGGTAAGGAGGGCCTTGTATGCGGGGTAGACGCGCCACCGTTACGTGTGAGCAAATGCTCATAACTTGACCAAAACTTGGTTCTGAATGCGCCGTTGCTCTCGTGTGTGGGTGCTGATTGGTTCGATTGTTTGATGTCGCGTCCTTTGATTGGCTATTATCTATTAGGTGGAAGTGTAGCGAGCCGGCGACACCGATTTCCGTACAAAGGGTTTATGATCACCCTCCTAACCTCTTTCTGTGATCTGTGATAAAAAGTAAGGACGATCAAACTAAATATTAACAACATTTTACAAGCTCTCATTTAACTTGCAGCGTTTGTTAATAATGTATATTCTGATCATATCTTGGAAATAAATATAAAGCAGTTGTGAAAAGAGTCTAGCCCGATAAGTACGACAAGTCGGCCCCCAATGGTAAACCTATATTGAAACTTATGTTTTCAAATCGACTTAATGTACAAACACAATTTACGTGCATTTCGCGACCAGCTTCCGTTTTGTCCTTGAGATATAAAAAAAATATTTATTACAACTGGAACCAAAATATACAAGAAACAAAAAAATATTAATCATTGTCGCTATTGTAATTTATTACAACTGTAGTATTAATATTTTTTGTTTCTTTTATTTTGATAAACACGAAAAGGAATAAAAGTTATGATAATAAAATTATTGAACACTGGTTGTATTTTCTTCTCATTTTGAACAATTATTCCAATTTATGATAAGAAAGAAGTACCTATGCTCTGAAACAAATTGGTGCAACATTTCGAAAACTAAAATGTGTCCCATTGGGGGCCGACTCGTCATACTTATCCGGCTAGACCCTTTGAAAACACGCTCCACCCAACGATATTAAATATCCTAGATACACCAACACGAACAAAATCATGCCCGAAACCTGTCCAGAAGGTACATTGGACGATCCACGGAGCTCCGTAAGATGTTCGCGTAGTCAAAACAATATAAGGCATTATTTAAACATTGAACATCACCTTTAAAGCAAACTATATAAGGTATTAATTAAAACGCATACGTCAAAGAGTTTTGACAGTCCGAAATGTAAGCTCGTAAAATTTTACGACTTATTGTTCTACGCGGAAGAATATAGACTCTACGCGCAATTCTGAATGCGCTGTTAGCAATATAGCAGGTACGGAGTGCGAGGAAATATGACGGCTATATAACTGACCATGCATTTGAATAACACAAATATTTTCTATTAAATCAGGTTATAGTAAGTATTTAAACATAATTTACGTTAAATGCGTTAAATGAACAAACATTGATTAGATACCTGTCGGGAAAACGACATTTGATATATTGTAAGCATTTGTTTCGCATTTTTTCACGGAGCTCAGCGGCATGTTGACTTTACTGACTGTGAACCAAGAAGTGCTTGAGTCGTGTTCAAGCACTTCTTGATTGGGACACATTATGAGCGCACGTGGTGTATCTAGGGTATTAAATATCGTTGGTTCCACCTTATCTGATGCTGTCACTTTTCTTTGCTACAAAGAAGACAGGGACAATATTAGGTTTGAACCAAGACTAACTTTAGTCCGCGTTTTAGAATAATGCGGATATAGTTTGGATAAAAATAGAGTAATGGCACGATTACTTGGTCGTTATCCCGAATACGAGTGCCAATGGAAAACGAATAGGCCCATATATGAATAGGCCTCTATGATAGTTTAGTCAGGTTTAGTTCAGGTACAAAGCGATTGTGGCATCTCTGTCTAACAGTAGTCAAGCAGAAAATGGGCTTTTGCTACTGCTATGACTGTTTGTGACTCAATCACGCTTTTGCGTTTTCATGCAAATCCGTTGAGTTTTTACTTAACGGATTTGCATGAAATTTGGTACACATATAGTTTATGAATTGAATTGAGACATATGATACTTTTATCCCGGAAAAATTATGGGCTCTAGTGGGATTCTGAAAAACTAAAGTTAACGCGGACGAAGTCGCGGCCGGCCGACAGTGTAACTAAAAATCTTGGCTCAAGACATAATTCTGCAGAACAATTTGCGAGATAGTGAGAGAAGGATACAAAATGTACAACAGATTCGAGACCTTTGTTTGACTAAGAAGGTAAGTGACGACTTCAACCAAGATATAATTTGACTTCTCTGAAGTTCTCTACAAGACTAAGCCATGCTCAATTACAAGTTGGTTAGTGACGATTTCAACCAAAATATAATTTGACTTCTCTGAAGTTATCTACGAGACTGAGCCCTGCTCAATTACAAGTTGGTTAGTGAAGATTTCAACCAAGATATAATTTGACGAAACTGACTAAATTACAAGTTGATTAGTGACACAAGTAAAACGTACATTTACTATTAAGAATTCGAAGTCTGTTGTTCTAGTGTAATCGAAACTATAAATATGTACTAAGAATGGTAACTAAATGTTTCTAAATAAATCATAAAGTAAAATACATAATAAATTAAAATAGATTCTTTGCATTTATGACTTTCTATCGACTTGTTTATTGCTAATAATGGAAAACTACCGCTAATCTTTATTAAGCTACATTAGAAATGTTTTGCAGAACTATGCACTTACTGTTAGGCGAAGATTTTTGTTTCTTAAAGATATGCCAAATGCCTGACAAGTTTTTATAGAACGAATATGTTCTGTTGGACCTACAAATATATAATACACCAACACAATAATCTTCAATAAAACCTACAATTTAATTTCATAGAAAATTTACTAAGGTTGCGAGCGTTTCGGTATTCTGCTCCAAGATTTCCGGTTCTAAACATGTCACGTGTGTTTTATTTTTAATTTTTTAAGCAATTAATTACTAGGTGTTTAAAACTAAATAAAATTTTACTAGAAAAAAATCCACGCATCCAGGCAGCGGACGGGACTCGAAGTGTTACGTGTGACTTAATTTCCAGACATCAAGTACGTGGTTATATTTAGTAAAAGGCCGCGGCGTCCGACCTCCTTGGACTGACTGACTAGCCTATGGATGACAGACGGACATTATGACAGTACTGACAGGGGAAAAGATGACGATGGACTACGAGGCAGGACGGTGGTGACTGCCTAGTTCCGGTCCACCGACTTCAACTTCGACTTTTACGACCTTATTAGGACGACGACTCCAACGACCAGACAAGTGGTCCTTCGAGAAAACTGACCCAGACCATGGTAAGAACGAGAAGCCGGACCAGGTCAATGATGTCAACGACGACGGCAGCCGTTCCTGCCCCTGACCAGGATGGACAAGACGGCAGACAGTCAATCCGGGACAGCCGCCCGCCCTCGCCATGCCATTCCGTGCACTCTACCACTAGCAGGACGTTGACAGTTAAAAGGCAAAGACTCCTGCAGCTACAACTGAACTGAACACGACAGTTCCTCACACTTGACAACACCTGAATGAACAAGTCCCATCAACAAGCACTGAAGCACACAACTTGCAGGAAGACTTAAAGTTGAGTACCTATAGACTCATAGTTATCGTTCCTATATTTAATCATGTGGTGCGGCTTCCGTGCGACGTACAGTTGGTACCTCACATCCGCTAACGTCATACACAAGTAGCGCCCTCTATGAAAAACTAAGAAGAAACGTCCTGTTCCGCCTGTGACCCGGGTCGCGAAGCAGCGTAATAACGCCGTGCGTTAAAAAACATTTGAATAAACAACAGTTAACTGTGTCTAACACCGTGTGTGGAATATTTATACTGTCAGTGAAGTGTCCCATAACCTTAGATTAAAACAAAAAGGGTAGATACGGTACGCTCATACTTGCATCAAAAAAAACTGAACCCACGGCAGCGCGAACGGGACGGCGAGATCCGCGTCACTGCATTACCGACCAATCACGCGACCAGTACTCGACGTCACTACCGAATAAGATTTAAAACAAACAACAATTTTTATGAAAAAATATATTTTATAGTACTTACGAATTAAAAGTGATGCCGTGGGTTTATTTTTAGTTCTTGAGCAATTTGAACACTTTTTAAAAACACACTTAGGCATTGTTTTATCATATAAACATAAAATATTAGCAATATTTCTTTATGGCGTTCACATGTGCGTCGTTTGCATGTCAAGTTGTGACTAAAGCGATTAGGGTCGTGGACCACAATTGGTGCGGATCACTTTTGTGAGGCTAGTGCCGTATCTACCCTTTTTGTTTTAATCTAAGCCCATAACTGGATTTCAGTTGGTATGGTAAATACAGCTACAGCAGTTAAATACCGGTGAGTCGTACTCCCTTGGTTTCTTGTTGGGACAATAACTTGGGTCACTCCACTCGTTTATCCTTTCTTTTCTTTTTAAACGATAGCTAGATGCTACACCTAAATAAGCTCTTAGCCCGACAGAATAACATTAAAGAGCTGCCAGTGTTCTCAGGAGAGCTTGAAGAGGGGTGTTGGTGTTGTTTTACAGCCAATTCGTTACGACTACTCGTCTGTGCGGAGACACTGACGACGAGAATATTGCCAGACTTTCAAGGGCCCTGAAGGGGCGCGCTGGCTATTTAGTCTTCGCTCTCTTGGTCTCTTCAGCAGAGAAGAGAGGTAGCTAAAGTGGTCAGCCTTCTCGTTTAAACCCGACAGCGAATGGCCTATAGATATTGACAACGTCGACGCTATCGACACTTACATCGGCGACAAAGAGATCAAGGCTATCTGCCTTACTATTTACGAACCGGCACCAGAGTTACCGGATATTAAACGCTTTTCTCAGTATTGGCGTCAAAGCGAACTGTCTGCGCTAGAGGTGGCGAACACTCATCAAACAAAGTCAGAGTCAGAGGTTTTTTACCGACATCAACAGCATAAAAAGACATGGACATGTTGACAAATCAAGCTCAATTCATCAAATCAATCCCTTCCTAGGCGCACACGACTTACTCCGAATCGGGAGGAGGATTGAGGCGGCAAATCTTGACTACAATACTAAGCACCAAATCATATTACACCCATCCGAACCTATCCATCCACCATCGCTACATCGTCAAATCCGCACACTCCGGTCGGTCTATCAACGAACTAAGAAAGCGTCACTGGATCCTCAACGGACGCAATGACGTTAAAAAGACCTGGAATGACTATCTCCTCTGCAAGATAAAACGCGCGAGAGCGGTACCGCCGCTCATGGGATAACTCCCGACTTTCGGCGCCTAGGAGGACATCGGCCCTTCACCTACACAGGCTTGGACTATTTCGGGCCTATGTTGGTCAAAATAGGCCGCAGAGAAGAAGAAGAAAAGGTGGGAAGCTTTATACGGTGACGTAAGCACGGTGGACGTAGATTTACTCAATGACTTGAACACCAACTTTGCGATTCTGAGCTTACGCCGATTTATAGCTCATCGAGGCTTTCCAGCGGTTATACAGTGCCAACGCGACGAAGTTCCGTGGGGCCCACCGCGAACTGAAACAGGCGGTACTAGTAATCGACCAGAGCGAACTAATGCGTTTCGGCAGCACGCGCAACATAGAATGGAGGTTTATACCTCCAAACTCTCCCCACATGGGAGGCTGCTGCGAAAGGCTGGTGCGTAGCATTAAGACGGCCCTACGTGTGACGCTAAAAAAGCGAATCCTAAGCGAGCAGACCCTCCAAACGCTCCTGGCCGAGGCCGAATAGTTTGTTAACAGCCCCCCATTAACTTACGTGCCAATTGACTCCGACGACGATTTACCGTTGACGCCTAACGATTTTCTCTTTACAGACACTTCGGCAATTGGCAGACCGTTCGGTACGTTGACGGACCATTCGGGAGTCCAAGAGGCTGGCAGACCTGACGTGAAGAAGCGGTGGGTCCGCGAATATCTGCCCTGTCTGACGAGACGAGATAAGTGGTTACAGGTACCTGATAGGATGCTCACCGTAGGCGACATAGTGATAATCGCGGACGGCCAACTTCCGAAGGGACAAGGGGGTCGGGTCGCGAAAGTGTACCCTGGAACGGACCACCAGACGTCTCGTCTGTCTCTCGCAGACGTTGCGACGAGACAGGGACTTTACACACGACTGGACGTTGGCTCCTAAGCTTGAGTATCAGCTTTCTGATACTGCGGATGAGAATGTCGTGGCTTCCAACCTCTTTGGGCTGACTGCTACGGATGACAGACGGACATTATGACAGTACTGACAGGGGAAAAGAGGATGATGGACTACGAGACAGGACGGTGATGACTGCCTAGTTTCGTTCCACCGATTTCAACTTCGCCTTCTACGACCTTATCAGGACGTCGACTCCAACCACCAGACAGCTCTGTTAAGTTGATTACACAATAATTTTGTGTGAGTTGTCAGAAATGTATTGTTTTGACATCTCTGGTCTAGATAGGGGACTGTAAGGGATACTGTAAGATATGATAAGTTTTTTTAAAACCTTAAATGATTACCTTGTTAATAAATGTCTCTATAAATTGAGTGAATACTATAAGACTATTAAATAATTTTAAATATTAAAGATACCTAGCCTTGACTTTTATTATAAATTCTATAATATATTGTTAAAATTGACATGATATTTATTAGATAATTGTTGCTACTTATAATGTTAATATAAATTTCATTTTAGCTACAGGCTCGACATTATTGTATCCTAACAGAATTCATGGGTTTGTATCTTGTTTACCACATGAAACGCAATAAACATTTCTGATTTCTGTCTCTACTTAGTAAACTAACCTTGTATTTGACGCTTACTTCCACGAGCAACTAAGTTATGTTATACAGTACAAATTAAACCGCAGTCTTACCATCCTTTAGTGATTGGTATTCTCAGAATTTTTAATTGTTGCTACTTATAATGTTAATATAACCTCCTATTGACGACCTCCGTAGCCGAGTGGTTTGTACGCCGGGTCCCGGGTTCGAATCCCGGTGGGGGCAGATGTTTGTGTGTTGAATACGAGTATTTGTACTCCAGTCATGGATGTTTAATACGTATTTTCTATATAAATATACTTATATATGTACAGTATATGTATTCTATCCGTTACCCTAGCATCCCATAACACAAGCCTTACAGTGCTTACTTTGGGGCTAGGCTAATTGGTGTGAGTGTTGGAAACATTTATTTATTATTAATTTATTTAATTTGAAGCCGTAACATTCGCCAATTAAGAAAAACATAGATACATTTATTATCTTGATAGTTCGCCAATGAGATGAAAAGCGGGAATTTAATTATTTAAGAAGTCACAGTAAGAGCATAGTCCGCAAAAACAATTTAAATTTCATCGTTTGTCCAGGTATCACCTCACGCATCAAGTAATTGAAGAGGTTCGTCACGAGGTTGTATTTGGCGACGTCCATTCCATATTGGATTATATTAGTGGCGCAATAGGTCGACATTGGCGCGACACAAGTGTTGTATAGCAGTAAGGCGAGCATCCACTTCTGCGCGTGGCCACTACCAGCTGATTGCACCCTTTTCAGAACCCGTTTGGGTCTTAAAGAGACCGTGCGACTGGCTACCACCTCCTCTGGTCCCTTTGAGTGATCGTCTTGTGTATTAAGCTCATGTGACGTTTCGAATCTAAAGAGTTTTCGACTCTATAGTACGTATACTGATTCCGAGATAAAGACTAAATTTGAAAGGCTGTAAGGCCCTACTCCATGGCGAAGTAATAAGCACGTTCGGCTGCTATCCTTAAAGTTAAGCAACTTTCGCAGTGGTCGGTTACTGGATGGGTGACCAAAAAGTTACTATCTAAAGCTCCTTCGTGCTTCGAAAGGCACGTTAAGCTGTTGTTCCCGTCTGCATTTGCAGTCGTTAGCACCCACCAATCGGCACTTGGCTTGCGTGGTATTTCACGGCCTAAGTTATGTATTCTATCCATATGGAAAGCGTGTGCCCCAGCAGTGGGGACATTAATAGGCTGATGATGAAGTGCTTATTGCATCATGTTCTAGTCCCGATAGCCTATTTTTAACTAATACGCATATACGCTAGTTAAACAGTAAATCTTATATCTGTCAGATAGTGTTATATAATGCAGATAACTATCTGAAACTTTATCAGGATCTGGGGAGTAATTATTTAACTTCTGCTATCCTTTTAAAGCTAAATCAAGTGTCAATCTGAGATAAAGCTAATCTCTGTCATAAATATAAAATTAAAGCAATCTCGACAAGAAGTTATACCATTAACTAAAGGTGAAACTAGCCCATAACAAATTATTCTCAACCGTATGTCGAAGTCGTGATGTAAAGATAGCTAAGCTCGTGAAGATTAAAATACCATTTTTGCACGAATTTTGACAGCTCCGTAATCGTATCGCATCGCCAAAAACTCTATGAACATTAAGCAGCGACCCTACCAGACATAAAAACAAACAGGCTCCCGTTGCTGGCATTTATAATTAAAAAAGTTATGTCGTTTCCGTTTCCCTTTGCTCTGCATCTCTTGTCCTTGTATGATTACATGTGCTGTGTGAAAATTATAAAAATATCGTATTTCTGCGACCGGTGGATTTCCTACTTGCAACCAACAAAAAATTACAGCCCACACTCCAAGCGTAACAGTTCCTTCCATACAAAGTTTGGCGATGACGACACAATTACGGGGCTGTCAAAATTCTTGCTTGGACCTCTTGGAGTAATGATTTTTTAGCAGTTTTCTACAAAAATTAAGAATACTTTCTCATGTCGCTTCCCTATCACTTTTCTTCCTTTCCTAGAATACTTTCCGCTACTAATAATTAATTAGATTGAATGAAGGAATTGATTACAAATAACCGACTAAAATAAGTCGCAAATTAAGCTCTTTAAGCAAGACATGACTAAAAAATAAAGCATCCAGCTAGCTATAAGAATCAAAACCATCCGTTCCATTCCATAATCTATGGAAGACAAGATTAGGCCAAGATTCAACTAAACACAAACTATTTTCATTCGACTAAGTGGCTTCATCACCCATTAAGCAGCGAACAGAAGTTAGCTAATAATATTTCTTAGTACTCATGCATATTTAGGCAAATCAGATTATTTCACAAACTTGTGGGTTTTCCTTAATCCAATTAAGTCGAGCGATTACGCACTAAACAATAATACAATAATACGTCAATAAGTATTAGCTCCTGTGCGTAATTATAAATTAAGTTCAGCTTAAGTTATTACAAGTTAACCAGGTTAGCGCACTACTCACCGTTTGTCAAAGTAAGACGGAGGCGTCGTCGATCCAATTAATGGATCTGTACTCGAAGGCTGCAACAAAGAAAAATTAAAATTTGAAATGGTATTAACATAAACCAATGTTATTAAATTGCATCGTCTTTAAACGATGTTCAGGCTGTTTTACACTTAGGTAAGTATAGACAGTAGCGAGTTTAGTATGGTTTGTCCCATTCGCATTTCGTCATGATTTCAAAAAAGTACCCATTAGAATTATGTCCTATTCGCATTTTGTCCCATTCGTATTTGGTCCCATTCGCAAATGGTCAATGGTGCTTATCGTCCCTATCGTCTGAAGACTGCCTTATGGTCCTGCACAATACGGCCTGACATCTACAGGTGGCGCCACATGAGTTAGCAGCCTTTATGGGACCCTTAGAGCCACACATACATCTAAGGAGTGTAAGCTAGTTTACTTACCCTACCCTCCCTGTCGTCCCTATCGTCTGAAGACTGCCCTTCCTATCATGCACAATACGGCCTAACATCTACACACATACCTATATATCTCAGTGGAGCAGCTGGACATTTTACCACATTCTCCTTATCATCATTGTCGTCGGAAGACAGGCTTTAAATTCTTACACAAGAAATCCTGACATTTAAACGCTTAAATCGGTGAAGCAACTGCTGTTATGGTAATGACAGCTAGTTTACTTACCACATTCTCCTTGTCATCGCCATCGTCTGACGACAGCCTCCTGTTCCCGCACAATACGGCCTGACACCTGCAGGTGGCGCCACAAGAGTCCGCAGCCTTTATGGGACCCTTAGAGCCACACATACATCTAAGGAGTGTAAGCTAGTTTACTTACCCTACCCTCCTTGTCGTCCCTATCGTCTAAAGAATGCCTCCTATCATGCCCAATACGGCCGAACATCTATACAAATACCTATATATCTCAGTGGAGCAGCTGGACATCATACCACATTCTCGTTATCGTTGGAAGTAGCCGAGTGTAGCCTTTAAATTCCTACACCAGAAAGCCTCACATCTACACGCTTAAATCGGAGAAGTAAATGCTGTTATGGGAATGTCAGCTAGTTTACTTACCACATTCTCCTTGTCATCGCTATCGTCTGAAGACTGCCTCCTGATCCAGTGGAGCAGCTGGACATCTTACCACATTCTCCTTATCGTCACTGCCGTCGGAAGTAGCCGAGTGTAGCCTTTAAATTCCTACACCAGAAAGCCTCACATCTACACGCTTAAATCGATAAAGCAACTGCTGTTATGGGAATTTAAGCTAGTTTCCTTACCACATTCTCCTTGTCATCGCTATCGTCTGAAGACTGCCTCCTATTCCTGCATAGTACGGCCTGACACCTGCAGGTGGCGCCACAAGAGTTGGCAGCCTTCACGCATCCACACATTTTCGTAGAACAACTGCCGCGACACGCGCAATGCGACGTTCCGTCACTGTTCCGTTTCACCGCGCGAACGGTGGATGTATTATTGGATGTATCCGGCTCCGTTGCTGTGAAGTTCATGGTGAGACGGGAACGTTGCGCCTGGAAAAGATGATATAGATATTTACTATGCATGTAACTGCTAGATGTATAAATCTTAAATAAATTTTACAAGAAAATCTCCACGCGGTCCAAGCAGCAGACGGGACTCGAGTCCTCAGCCTCCGCAATTCGGACGAATGCACCAATTGAAAAAAAAAATTGCTACCGCGAGCTAAATGGCCGTGTTGAATTTCTTCTAGTATTTCTTAGACTGCAAGGCAGCGCCATCTCTTATGGTATATATTAACCAACAAAGCAAGATAAATAAAGATGATAGTCGTAGATCTGCAGGTCAAAAGTGAAAACTTATTGATGCTGCCTCCTACTAACTTTAAAACTGTGGAAATTCTTTGCTACTCTTTCACGCTAAAACTACTGAACTGATAGGATGAAATTTGGCAAACATATAATTTATTATTTGATTTGAGACACAGGGAAAAGAAAGAAAGAAAGAAAAATACTTTATTAGTTGACAACACAACATACACAAAAAAGTAAACAAAAAAAAACCCTCTAAAACATATTAGTAACATAAATAAAACAAAATGTTATACTAACAACAACAAAAAAACAGCTACATTAATACAATACTTCTGCATAAACGTAAATTTTATGTGATGCGAACACTGGATAAGGCCCAGCATCCAGAACAGGTGTTTCCAGCTGCAATGTACTGTACCATACCCAGCATAGTGACATCACAGAACACAAAATATACAATTACAAAATATTACAAACAAAAACAACACATAATCAATGGGACTCATTCCGTCCCGACACCATAGACCCAAAACCAAACCCGACAACAGCATATCCTTGTGAAGTTAGGAAAAGGATAACCCTCTAAAGAAAGTATTACTAGAGAAAATTCTACGCCATCTAGGCAGCAGACGGAACTCGAACCCACAGTCTCCGCTATCCGGGCGGGTGTACTAATAATGCTAACATGACCTTAATGGCCGTGCCGAATTTTTCATAGGATAGACCACTGCCAAAATTACAATATCAGTAGGTGCACCTGGTACATTTAGGAAATGGTCATTAATAATGAATGAATTGGTATATTTTATCTTTTTTTTTTAAAAGCGAGGTAGGCAAATGACTCTATCCTACCTTATGTTAAGTGGTGATAAAGTCCAAACGCAAAGATAGCTGGTACAGCAGTTATAAACTGCTACACCAATCATCCTCACCTTGCCGGCCTGCAAAAATGCTTCTTCACGCCTCTCTTAGGACCCCAGATTATAGGAAGGACGGAACACGTGCGCGGGTTAAGAAGTAAGTAGGTAAGTATGTCTTCTACAAAAATTTAGGTTAAAATTTTTTTTTGTTAATATGTTGTTCAAAATATCATTTTTTCTCGTGAAATATAGTTTTGTAAGCTATAAATTTCAATTCCCTGAAAATGCTTTATATGCTCACATTTAGTGCTAGTCCAACGAACATGTAACTCATCTTGGGTATCCATCATAGAATGCTTTTTAAGCGCGAATAACTTAGGATCGTTCGTTTAAAAAAAAATATACAAACAAAGTCGCGGGTGGAAGGTATTTTAGCAATAAAATATTAATTAACTGCGATATTCACACGAAATCAATAAAAATGATGATTAGTTCGTTACAATAGAAACAATTTTACAAAACCAAATATTTGATTACATCATGTGTTATATGAGCGTGCAGGGCACGGGGATTTAATGATTTCTAGCAATATAACTAATGGTAACCACGCTACGATTCGCACTCAATGACGGCTGTGAAGTTAGCGCGAGTCGCGGCGCAGGACACGAAATGTAGGGTAATGATGTAGGTAGGATGGCACTGAACTGAAACCTGCGCATGGTTCCGCTCGCTGCTAACTTCACAGGCGCCAAAATATTTGAATCGCATTTTACCTGTATCCGCTTGAAAAGCGGCGTGGCCATCCAGTCCGAGACCTTGTCGCTGTCTTCTTCCTTGTCCTCGTCTTCTTCAGACGACTCCACGTTCTTAATCAGAGCAGGGGGACAATGAAGTATGACAGTAGGTCAGCTAAATGACTAAAAACTTTTTTAACGGTATGGGGGGTCAGAAGATGCTTCCTACAGAGAGTGGGTGCCACAGCGACTAAAGCCTATTCTAGACGGATGTTAGCCAGCGTACCAACCAAGGTGACCTTGGTGGGAAGTTGGTTTCCATCCGCGTTATGATTTTCAGCTACACGGATGTAATCCACGCGCCAACACGCAATCACGAGCCGTCTTCTGGCGTGAAAACACGCATGCACTTGTATCAGGCGCTGACTGTATTAGTAACCGTGTTGTATAAATGGCTCCAAATTTGTTTAAATTCCAAAATGTGGGCTTTGTCTTAACAGTTTTGTGTGCAATAGACGACGAAAAACAACAAATAAGAGAATGTGGAAGCGTTGGTTACAACAGCGAATGATTCTCAGCCATTCTGATTCATTCAAACTTATTGGAGTTATTGGACTTTAATGATATTCATAACTTCCTAAGAATACGTGCACGCATACGTGCGCATACGCCGACTGCCACAGCGCAACTGTCTTTGGTTGGATGTAATCCGCCGGCCAAACGGTTGTAATCCACGCGCTTCAACCGCGGATGTAAACACGCGCCCGTTATCCAAGCACGTTGAAGGTCAAATCAAAATTTGTATTACATCCTTCGTCTAGATCAGTGTTTCCTAACCTTTCCAATACTGCTACCCCTGTAACCTATTAGGAAAACAGATTTTACCCCGACTTCAAAATGTTATCATCAGGCCAAGAAATTCCAATTTGGCTGCTACATCTTTATAGTACCTTGTTAGTTAGTAATTTTTATGTTTTGTTATTTCAAATTTCAATCGTGAGGACGGGTTTAAATTGTCGAGTGTCTGGAATCCTGTGGTTCGTATGTGTAAAACCGGAAATAATCAAAAAAGTGTCGTGTCGCGATCAGATACTGTAAGTGTTGTGTGTCGAGAACAGTTTCGAGTGAATAGTGAGAATGTGAACAGTGGTACGGGTATCGAACGCAATAAAAGACTTCGTCGGAGGGTAGACCGATATGTCTGCCAATAACAGCCTACCCGCAATTACTTCAGTTACTCCGTGATCATGGCGCTTGCAACAGTGCCGAAATATCGGAAACTCGCTAAAAACAAGGTACATGGTAACAATCCCGTAAATAACTTATATTACTATAATGTTAGTGACCATGAAAGTTTAAAACAATATATTGCTACATCTTTGTCTCCAATAATGTCATCATCAGGAAAAGATCTCGCCCCGCTTCCCACACTCAGCACCCCGCGGGCTCGCTAGCAAGAAGGAGCGCATGCTCCATTTAGTAGTTTTATTATAAAGTATTTTCTTATTATTTAGATTTGACCACATAATTAGGTCCTTTGTTACCCCCGAAGTGTAGCTAATTTACCGCCGGAGGAGTAATTACCCCCAGGTTCGGAACCCAGGGTCTAGATGGATGGCAACGGGCAAAGTCACCTTGGTTGGTATGCTGGATTGCATCTATCTAGAATAGTCTTAAGAATCGGTTTCTCGGGTACCACTCCCAGCCGAGGGTACGCCGTGGGGTTTTCAGTGGGTAGACCTGTTGTTCGATAAGTCCATCGAACGAAGTTCCGTTGGATGTATCCTCGGAGGAGTCCTACATAACCTCGTCGCTCATCAGGCAGCGGGGTATGAGCCATGCATTTTCCCCACGGTATAAAAAGAAAGGTTGCTATGGACTGTAGCGTCACACCAAGAGTTCCAAAGTAGCGCGCGTTCAAAATGTCCGTGCAAAGTGGCAATCTTTAACATTTTTAGACAGCTTACACAATTTTTTCGACGTTGAATATTTTTATACTATACCAGCGGCCCGCCCTCGCTTCGCTTCGGTATAGAGCTGAAGTGTAGACTACAGTTTTTGTTCTCAGGCTTGTATTATACACAATGACATTCATCTATGATTCTTCTTATACCTGCACGCAAAGTCTAAACCCGATCGGTTTAAAATTGACAAAGTTTCATACAAACTTTCATTCCCTATTTTATCACCTTGAGGAAAGAATTGAGCAAAATCCTTTCTTAGCGGATGCCTACGTCATAACATCTATCTGCATGCCAAATTTCAGCCCAATCCGTCCAGTAGTTTAGGCTGTGCGTTGATAGATCACTATGTCAGTCAGTCACCTTTGAGTTTTATATATATAGATATATAGATTAAGGGAACGTAAAGTATAAAATCATGAATATTGCCTATTAGCGCAATATGGAGGAGACCTATATGCAATAATGGGTACACAAAGGTTGGAGTAGAAGACACATACCTGTATCCGCTTGAATAACGGCGTGGCCCTCCAATCAGGGTCTTTGTCACTGTCTTCCACCTCGTCCTCGTCTTCATCAGACGGTTCCACGTACTCCACCTTCTTCACAGGCTCGGGTTGCTCCTTCTTCGAACGCTTGCTGCTCTTACTAGAACGCAACTGTTCCAGCTCGTCCATAAGCTTTTTCTGTGGACATTTTGTTCATTTGATTTTGAGTTCAAAATTTATAACATAACATCACCAGCCTTATTAATGTCCCCACTGCTAGGGCACAGGCCTTTCCAATTTATGGAATAGGGAGATTGGGCCAGGACCCACCATGCGGGCCCAGTGTGGATTGGCGGGTGCGAACGACTGCAGATGCAGCCGAGACCAACGGCTTAACGTGCCCTCCGAAACACGGAGGAACTCGAGATAGAAGATTTTTGGTCACCCATCCAATGACCGACCATTGCGATAGACGCTTAACTTCAACTATCGGAGCCGAATGCGCTAACCACCTGCGGCATCGAGCTCCTCATACATATAACAATCTTGGATAAACAAAATATGTGAAGTAAACAAGTGTAAACTATCTACGGTCCCTCGCAAACAATAAACTGTTTGTACAATCCAATACAATTATAAAGTTTAACCCATGGTTCAACTTTATGCACTCAGCAATAGCAATGACAACGCAGAAACAATACTTAATTTTAATGAAACAGATCCAAAGAATTTATCTCTTTCTTTGCGTCGTATTGAAAATACAACAGAACGGATTATTTTTAAAAGTGTATAAATAAATTAAAAATCATATGCGTTAAAACAAATTGACGAGAGGATTTAAAAAAACTATTGTGTTGCTTTAAGTGCAGTTAAAGTTTTAAGTGAATTGGACGCGTAATGCTGCGTTTCGACTTAAGCTCGGAACAGTACCCCCTAGCACGAACCAAAATCTAATTCGTAACGTTTGCGAGTCCGAAATGTCATTGTCAAATATGTACTGTACCCCTAGCACGAACCATTATCGAATTCGAATAGTTTGCAAACCGAAATGTCAATGTCAAATTTTGTATGGAAACTTGAACAGCAGCGGCACCAAAGTACGTAACTAGAACGAAAAATCAGTACCCCTAGCACGAACCATTATCGAATTCGAATAGTTTGCAAACCAAAATGTCAATGACAAATTTTGTATGGAAACTTGAACTGCAGCGGCACAAAGTACGTAACGAGAATTAAAAATCAGTACAGATTTGACAATGACATTTCGGCCTCGCAAAAGTTACGAATTCGATTTTTGGTTCGTGCTAAGGGTACAGTTCAGAGCGAACAAATATTTGTTCAGTAAACGGAATGCTCAAAGTAAGTGTTCGTTCGCCGTTGCGTTGTTTATTCCATTGATGATTGAACAAGAGAGATTTCGTTCACAGAGTCCAGTTAAACATCTTTGAAGGAACTCGTTCGCTAGCTCTGATGTTTTTGTTCGCTGAGAATCATCTCAGAATTGTTCTGAGCTCAAAATGGAAATGCAGCATTATATGAATGTCGCTCGCGATATGCAAGACCAGTAAGTACCCTTAACACGAACCATTATCGAATTCGATAATGTAATAGTTTGCGAGTCCGAATTGTCATTATCAAATTTTGTTTGAAAACTTGAACATTAGCGTAATCACGTACGTAACGAGAACTAAAAAATCAGTACACATTGGACAATGACATTTCGTACTCGCAAACGATACGAATTCGATATTGGTTCGTGCTAAGGGTAGTTTCCGGAAAGGACAAAACGTAACAGCAAAAATCCTAAAAACCACTTATCGATATATAAGATTGATAAGTTAACTAAAGCTTATTTTACGAGGTATGTTAGGTAATTTGTTGAATACCAGAAGTGGAGCATCAATAGGCTGATAATGATAACGGAAATTTTCAATAGTTACTTGGTAACTAAACTATGATAAACTTATCTTGTACTCAGAATAACATTTTGGGTGCCGCTACTTGTACTATAGAAAAAAATGATTCCTGACCCACTCGCCCAAATTTGCTTAAAAATGGCAAAACAGACAAGTTTTCTTCTATAAAGAATGCGTAATTGCACTAAGGACCTTCTAATAATAAGGAAATTTTACTCATACAGATCAAAAATCTTCGAAATTTACCCTTTCGTCTTTAATGCAATAAATCAGCTTACAGATAAAACTGGAAATGTACTTTTAAAATTGTAAATGTAACAGAAACTCCTTTGATATTAAGAAAAAAATAGTATATTCATTGGGAAATCCTTAGTCTATGGGGAAAACGAAAAAAAGCGAACGCCCGCTCCAAGCTCCCGCTTAACGCAGCGCAGGCTCTAAGTGATAGTGTTAGTTAAATAACAACAACTGTTGCTAAGAAACGAATCGCTCAATGCAGCGTAGGCTCTTTTAATCATGTAAATCAGTATAGCTTAACATACAATGAGAAATCAAATATCAATTGATTTTTACAGACTGGTGCTGTAATAGGGGTGACGACGGGGAAAGTATACGAAATTCTATTTAGTCCGTCAGTTAGATGATCATAAAATAATGAACACAATTTTATTTTTTTTGGGAAATCTACCAAAAAATGACAAAGATAAAGCGCGTCAAAGTTTGTGAGTAGGGGCTCGTGACGTCACTTGTAAGTGAAAATTGTACCAAAATGTGACGTCATGAGACTTTTCAAATCAATATATCTCTGCAATGTTTATATTATGTGAGAAAAGAAAAAATACGTGTCCGATACTTTTTGATAATCAACCTGATAAACGAAGAAAAACAAATTAGTCGTCATCCCTATAGAAGATTAAAGAGCAAGGCATTGGTAACCTCAAGCCTTCATCTCATCAACTTCTTCCTTTACCAATCTCCTTTAGATCTCCATCTTTATACCTCAGCCGTATTAACATTTTTTATTACTATCTCTTATCTATTAGACAAGTCCGTCCGTCCGTCCGTCCGTGGTGCTGTTTCAGCGGCCAAACCGTAAGAGATAGATAAAGAGAATGTTAAGTTATAAGTTAAGAATAGTCTGATAAGACTACATACCGGATTTGAGTAACGTAGCACTTCCGGTTTTCGAGAAATCACGTGATTTCTATTTCAAACGAAACCACACAAAATCTCTGAAGTTCTCAATTAATTAAATACATTTTTTTTTTGGTGAACATTTGGTTCACTGGTTTGCTAGTAATATATAATCCCATTTTATAGCAAGTCCTATTTTTCGCTAATAAGCTACGGTACTTATATTTTTAAAATGTTAACTTCGAGACGACGGAATTAGAGCCTAGAAATCTTAGATCAGAAGCCCAAGCACGAGTTTTTGACAGCTCCGTAACATATCGTTATCGTCAAATCATGTTTGGAAAAAGCTAGTTTGTGATTACGTCCGAAAAGGACGCTGCTTAGTTTTCATAAAAAAATTGCCGATGCGATACGTTACGAAGCTGCCAAAAATTCGTGTTGGACCTCTTTTTTAAAGGTAGTAAAAGACAGTTTTTTCAAAATTTACTCAGTATTCTCAGGATCTCAGCGCTAATTTTCTTTAAAAATATGTCTCATTATTCTTTCAAGTGATTTCTTGTATATGAATTAACAGACTTCAATAAGGAGTAGGTTAACAATCCGACTGTTATGTTATTTCTTATGTTTACCGCGCGATTATCCGTCTATTTATGTATAAATATAATTCTGTATATCAGTTATGAATAAATGATTATTATTATTATTTAGGACCAATTTCCAAAATTATTTAGTAACCGTAAGGATTTATGTACTCCCGAGATGGTCCCATAGAAAAATTATCATGATTTGATCAAGGACTTCGGAGATGTGGAACAGAACTCTTCGTAGAATCCTAGTAGAAACCAAAACTTAATGACATACCAACGTTTAATGACCGTTTTATTGACCAAATTCCATTCTTCGCCGGACTGTTCTGACCTCTAATGTTTGCATTTTGTGTGCCTATTAAACAAAGCAATATTTATAAAAACTGTACCCTTAGCACGAACCATAATCTAATTCGAAAAGTTTGCTGTTCAAGTTTCCATACAATTTGACATTTCGCACTCGCAAACTAGTCGAATTCGATATTGATTCGTGCCAAGGGTACAGTTTTTATAAATATTGCTTTGTTTAATAAACAAACATTGAAAGTCAGAACAGTCCGGCCAAGAATGGAATTTGGTCATTAAAAGTCGGTACGTCATTAAGTTTTGGTCAGTCAAGTCAGTAATTTTAGGCCTTGATACGGCTTCCACCCCTAAACACGCATCGTAGATTTCAAGCCACTAGCGCCATCTAGCGGTGCTTGTTAACCGCATCAACCATAAAATGCGGTTAAATAAATGTTAATAAAAATGATTTTTTAAACGCATGGTTATAAACGTTAATAACCGGCTTCGCATCTATAGTCACGGCCCAATCTGCCTATTCCATCCATAGGGAAGGCCTATGCCCTAGCAGTGGTGACATTAACAGGCTGATGGTGATGTTAGCAATTCAGTATTCTTTTTCTGGCCCAGTTTTTTCCCCCTCTTCTGTTTATCACTGTAATTGATCAAGAGACACATTTAAAATGATCGAGTAAAATAGCCACGAATCTATCTTAAATACATTTTTTATAGAAAATCATGAACTTCACGCGACCTTCTCATGAAAACACGATAAAATAATTATTCTGGAAGCGTAACGGACAAATATATTTATTTTAAATAAATATGGTCTAGTAAAACTCGTTTCTTTAAATGTACCAATAACATCTACCCGCAATTACTTAAGTTACTCCGTGATAATGGCGCTTGCTACACTGCCGAAATATCGGAGACTCATAGAAAAACAAGGTACATGGTAGAAATCCCGTTAATAGCTATGACGTTAGTAACCATGAAAGTTTAAAACAATATATGTATCCCTTAATCAATTACAGCGATAAATAGACGAGGAAAACCTTTTTAGGTCAAAAAAAAAATACTGTACGATCTACGTCTAATCTACCACACAAACGCGTGTATGCGGTTGTAGCGGTGTTTAATATGTTAGACATAAGGTTCACAATGCAATGGTTGGACATACATTCTCGTCTTCCACTTGGTCAAGTCTCTCCTGCTGGTATTGGATCACGTTCTGTAGATGTTTGCAGGCTTCACTCTTGTCTCCGCGACCGACGACTCCGCGTTGCAAAGCTACTAAGGCGGATATCTGTAGGAAAAATTACATATTTTTATAAAATGACTAGCAAACTTCGTACCGCCATAAAAATAGGGGTTGGTGGTAGAAGGGTGAAAATTTAGGATTATATGTATTTTTGTATGATGAAAAAAAAATAAACCAAAAAATTTTGTCCAAAAAAATAAGTTTTTAAGGGTGGACCCTTAACATTTAGGGGGATGAAAAATAGACGTTATCCGATTCTCAGACCTACTGAATATGCATATATTTTTTATTCGAAAATCGGTCGAGCCGTTTCGGAGTAGTTCAATTATGCACACCGTGAAACGAGAATTTATATATTACATTAGTTTGGAGTATGGATTACCTTCTGCTCACTCTGCATCTTGACTAAGCTCAGTTGTCTCTCAAACTCCGCTTTACTGTTCTCAAACTCTACAGCCAGTCGATCGTGGGCTTCCTTGATCTCCTCGTATCTCGCCTGGTAACCTTTCTCGCTTTGATTCTGAAGCTCTCGTTTAGCATCGACCAGTAACTCGAACAAACACTTCAAAGCCACTTTCGCTTCAAGCATAGACTGTATGTTGTCCCACTGAGTACGGGATTTGTTTTCTGTTTTATAAAAAAAATATATATGAAAACTCAAATTGATATTTTACACAAATTAAGTCCCCGTATCATGAGCACCAAAACGCGATGCGATAAAGCTTTTATCGTCATTTTGTAAAGTCTGTTGTACTTCGACAGTTAATGTCGATAAATCGCTTTATCCTAATATATGGCATTTTGGAGGTTATGCATTAGAGGTACTTAGGTTGTTTCAAATTAAAATCAATTTTGCGTTATCTCACGTGACCGCTTACAACGGGACTTCAAATCGCCAATTTTAATTTTTCAAGACCTGAGCTTACCATATTTGTAATTGGCAATATTAGTAATTGAAACTAAAACGTTTCATTGTTATTTGTACTTTTTATATGTAATCCATTTCGTAAAAGTTTATAGACAGCCTTGACAATATTAAACTATAATATTTTTGATCATGATATTTTTTATTCAAAATTCCGTCACATACTATTTTCTCATCTACTCATCATTTCATCATCTTTCAATTCTACCCCCAAGGGGATAAAATAGGGAATGAAATTTTGTATGAAACTTTGTCAATTTTAAACCGATCGGGCTGAGACTTTGCATGCAGGTATAAGAAGAATCATAAATGAATGTCAGTGTGTATAATACAAGCCTGAGAACAAAAACTGTAGTCTACACTTCAGCTCAACACCGAAGCGAAGCCAGGGCGGGCCGCTAGTAGTAATATATAGTTTCACCTGCCGTCGTCTTATGTGCTGTTGCATTGGTTCTCTATGATGTTTGAATTGTATTGAACATAATATAATATCACATACCCTGGTCAGCAGTAAGTATTTTCTGTTGCAGGTCTGATATCTGCGCCTTGGGTAACACCAGATCGACTTCCAGTTCTACCAACTTCCTCCTGCTGGCGTCGTCTAGCGATGTTGCTTAGGTTCTCTATGATGTTTGTATTGTATTGAACATAATATAATATCACATACCCTGGTCAGCAGTAATTATTTTCTGTTGCAGGTCTGATAGCTGCGCCTTGCGTAACGCCAGATCTTCTTCTAGTTCTACCAACTTCTTCCTGCTAGCGTCGTATTTTGTGATATTTCTCTATGATGTTTGAATTGTATTGAACATAATATAATATCACATACCCTGGTCAGCAGTAAATATTTTCTGTTGCAGGTCTGATATCTGCGCCTTGTGTAACGCCAGATCGTCTTCTAGTTCTACAACTTCTTCCTGCTGGCGTCGTCTTGTGATGTTGCTTAGATTCTCTATGATGTTTGTATTGTATTGAACATAATATAATATCACATACCCTGGTCAGCAGTTAGTATTTTCTGTTGCAGGTCTGATATCTGCGCCTTGCGTAACGCCAGATCGTCTTCTAGTTCTACCAACTTCTTCCTGCTGGCGTCGTCTTCTGTGCTGTTGCGGAGGTTTTCTATCTGTTCCGTGATCCACGCCCTGTTTAACAAATTAAATGTTTACAACAGCGCTCAGAGACGTCAAATTAATTTAAAGATAATGTTTAAATGATACCCAAAAAGTAGAAAATGGCCACCAAAAACATAAAATTGCAAAACCTAAACGTTAGGGTTAGATTGGCAGTTGTATACCACCACCACCATACATACACCAAAAGGATGATCAATTTATCATTTACTATATTTTGAGGATCATTTAGGATCAATTTATGCCGCCTCGGAGTGGAATGGAAGCGAATTTTAACCAACCAATTAGCCTAGCCCCAAAGTAAGCACTGTAAGGCTTGTGTTATGGGAAACTAGGGTAACAGTTAAAATATATATAATGTACATATAATTATGTATACAGGGTGTCCCAAAAAGTAGTGTCAAGCGGTAGTCCCGGGATAGAACACCTCTTGGGGAATCCGAAACACCCCCATGTATGTTCCGCGATTTTTTATAGTTTGCGAGTTATGAATTTTTTACTAAAATTTTGAGAATTAATGACCTAAACAACTTAAAAATTTTATAAAAAAAATTGGATAAGTCTTTTCCGAGATATGTTTTTGCAACTCAATTTACATGAATTGTACTTAAATGACTAATACCTTTGTCTTTGTAACTATGATGGAAGTTCAAAAAATGATGGTGCAAAGTGAAAAAATTATGGTCAGTGAATTATGTCTTAAGATTTCAACTTTAAATTTAAAATCTTAATAGGTAGTTTCATAGCTCCTAAGTAAGTATAAAAACTGCGCCAAACTCTCAGCTTTCATAATAATTTAAAAAAAGTAGTACTTAAAGGGCTACTTTTGCTAAAATCGGACTTCAAAGACAGTGAGGTGGAAAAATCTTAAAATTAGCGATTTGGTATCGATGTTTTTTTTTGGCATTTTATCATTCCTAAAGTCAATTAGATTGTTAACTAATCGAAAATAGTTGCAAAAAAGCTAAGATTCTACCATTTTTAAGTTTAATTTAAAGTTAAAAAGAAGATTTTTTGAACTCGCTGTATTGTGTGATACCTAAAATTAAATTTAGTTACAAAAATAAAATCTTTAAAAAGGGAAAGCTAAATAAAACAAAAAGTAACTGCTATTTATTACAAAAAGTTTTCAAAATGTCTCCTTTCCTGCTCAATACATATTCTGCACCTTTTAAAAAAGTTTTCTTTTAGCTGAATAAACGCTATTCTGTTATTTTTTATTGTTTCTTCTGCGTGTCGCAATTTCGTTCGTAATTCTTGAATATTTCTTATGTCTTTAGCGTAGACCAATTCTTTGTAATATCCCCAAACAAAGAAATCAATAGGGTTTAAATCCGGGGACCGTGGGGGCCATGCAATGGACCCTCCTCGCCCGATCCACTTGTCTCCAAACCTTTCATTTAAATCATGTCTGACGATGCTCGCGTAATGACATGGAGCGCCATCGTTTTGAAAAATCATGTTCCTCCGCGTTAAAAGGTCTACATCATCGAGTAAATTATTGAGATCTTGTCGTAAAAATTCCAAGTAGGACTCGCCATTCAATCGGTCTGATAGTTCGAACGGACCAATCAGCTGTCCGTTTATTATGCCTGACTACAAGTTCACGCTGAATTGTTCTTGAAAATTTGAGTCACGTGTCAGTTGTGGATTTTCGATGTTCCATGAGTGATAATAGTGGATGTTAAAAATCCCACACCTTTTAAAGTGTGATTCATCGGTCCACAAGATAATCCAAATGTTAACATCTTAGCGTTCTTGCAATAAATTTTGGTTAGTTAACAATCTAATTAACTTTAGAAATGATAAAATGCCAAAAAAAAACTTCGATACCAAATCGCTAATTTTAAGATTTTTCCACCTCACTGTCTTTGAAGTCCGATTTTAGCAGTAGCCCTTTAAGTACTATTTTTTTAAATTATTATGAAAGCTGAGAGTTTGGCACAGTTTTTAAACTTACTTAGGAGCTATGAAACTACCTATTAAGATTTTAAATTTAAAGTTGAAATCTTAAGACATAATTCACTGACCATATTTTTTTCACTTTGCATTATCATTTTTTAAACTTCCATCATAGTTACAAAGACAAAGGTATTAGTCATTTAAGTACAATTCATATAAATTGAGTTGCAAAAAAAATATCTCGGAAAAGACATCCAATTTTTTTTATTAAATTTTTAAGTTGTTTAGGTCATTAATTCTCAAAATTTTAGTAAAAAATTCATAACTCGCAAACTATAAAAAATCGCGGAACATACATGGGGGTGTTTCGGATTCCCCAAGAGGTGTTCTATCCCGGGACTACCGCTTGACACTACTTTTTGGGACACCCTGTATATAGAAATACATATTGAACATCCATGACTGGAGTACATATGCTCGTATTTATCACACAAACATCTGCCCCCAGCGGGATTCGAATCCGGGACCTCTCGAATAGGCGATACCATGAAGCCCGGCATACAAACCACTCGACCACGGAGGTCGTCTTGAATTTTGGCAATGAAATTGTTCATTGCTTACAAATACAACTTTATGTAAAAAAAGACTTCTTTAGATTTAAATATCTAGCAGTTAAATGCTTAAAAAAATAAAATTCATCTTCTGCGGGAATTCTCGCACATTCTCGTTCGTTTAGTTTGTATTTTATACAATATTGTTCTAAAGTTAATTATGCTTTGTACAATTTCGTTGTAAAAATTCGCTTTCGTGCCTTGGACAAAAAATTTACTAGACATGGTAGCAAACCTTTGATAATGACGATGTCAATTATTATTATTTTCTGGTGTCAATGATTTAGTAATAATTGTTATCAATGATTTCATTCATTATTATATATATATTTTTTACTTACGTATTTTTTAACCAGCCAATTGTGTCGATTCTGGCATGGTCTCTCTAAACCAAAAATTAAATTTGACAACAGTGTATCCTAGTCATTCTTACGAAAACTATGTTTTCGTGAGCTCGCACTCGTATGAAAGATACTAATTTTATTGTTTTCTTTTCAATACAAATAAACAGTGTTTAAATTCTATTATTAAATCATTTGCGTCTTCTTAAATTTTAAGTATATTTGGTTAATTTTCACCAAAATGCACATAGAAAAATAATTTACAATTACGAAAACTCACTTTCGTGAGCTCAAACTCGTACTAAGGGCACAGAGTGAAAAGGAGAGATTAAAGTTTAATTTAGTTTTTTTTGGTTTAGAGAATCATATATGGTGATATATTTTTTATTTTGTAGGTTGTATATTATTTATGTATAGTTATTATATTTATTAATAATAGTAATTGTGTTGACAAAATGAAGAAATGGCTATTGAATTAGAAAATTTGACATGTATTGTACAATTATTGGTATGCCACTATAACTCAATTTAAATTTGATTTTTTAAATAATTTATTAGTATTTTGAATGCTCGAGGGGCGAAACATATGGAACTTAATATTATTTACCAACTGTAACAAACTATGTTTCATGCAAATAAACTTTCATTACATTTCATATCAGAATCGACAAATGTCTGAAAAAGAGAGATTTAATGTTAATTTCATGGCAGCTCACCTATATTCCATAAGTTCTTCCAAAGACTTCTCCGCCTCGACTATGCTGAGGTGTACTTCTAGCTCCTGCTCGATGTACTGCTGTACGGCGCCAGCTTTAACGCTGCCTTTGGCGTTGCGTTTCATAGCTGTGCTCTTCTGACGTTCTAGAGCTTCCTGTTTATATAAAGACAAACTATTGATATAAATAAATAAATATTTCCAGCACTCACACCAATTAGCCTAGCCCCATAGTAAGCACTATAAGGCTAGTGTAATGGGATACTAGGGTAACGGATAGAATATACTGGTACATATATAAGTATATTTATACAGAAATACAAATGAAACATCCATGACTGGAGTACAAATGCTCGTATTCATCACACAAACATCTGCCCCACCGGAATCGAACCCGGGACCTCTCGAGTCGGCGACACCATGAAACCCGGCGTACAAACCACTCGGCCACGGAGGTCGTCAAATTAAGGTTACGTTATGTAACGTTGCGTACGACAAGTGTGTTTCCAAGTCATATGTTTTCATACAAATTTCGTAATTTAGATGTCTCAATACGTAGCACCTACCTACCTACCTTTAAGAAGGGAAGTTGGCAACGTATTTTCCATACAAACGCTCTCGCCGAATTCCCCCTTGATTTCTATCACTAAACAAATTATTTTATTTGCATATATGAAATATAATTTTATTCATTCTATGCTTCTATGTCATCGTTTTTTCGATAACTTGAAGCCCTCAAAAATGCCAAAAAAAAACGAATTCACATCACCACTAAAGACGTCTAGCGTGAAGATTCAATAAGCATTTACAAAAAAGTAAAACGTGGAGGCCTAGTAAAACTACTTACTATTATTCTATGGGTGAAATTCCTTTTACATATCTAATTTTCGTGGAGGAAATCGTTGAGAACCAAACCAAATCAAATATCTGAAAATGAATTCAGTTTTCCATTGATTGGGTAAGATAATGATAAACTCTCCGAACCAATCCCGTGATCAGCGTGTTGATCGCAGTTTCTTCGAGCAGCCCACTTGATCGCAGTTGGCGTGGAACCACTATTTAGCGCAGTTCGTATTCCATATTATTTGTTGGAGCTCGATGGCGCAAGTGGTTAGCGCGTTCGGCTGCGATCGTTGAAGTTAAGCAACTTTCGCAATGGTCGGTCATTGGATGGGTTACCAAAAATTTACTATATCGAGCTCCTCCGTGCTTCGGAAGGCACGTTAAGCCGTTGGTCTCGGCTGCATCTGCAGTCGTTAGCACCAACCAATGCGCACTGGGCCTGCGTGGTGGGTCAAGGCCCAATCTCCCAATTCCATCCATAGGGAAGGCCTGTACCCCAGCAGTGGGGATATTAATAGGCTGATAATGATGATGATGAATGATAAACTCTCCAACCAATCCCGTGATCAGCGTGTTGATAGCAGTTTTTTCGAGCAGCCCACTTGATAGCAGTTGGCGTGGAAATTGTAATTCGTTGTCTACAACTTTATTCTCTTACCTTCAGCCTTTTATTAACAGCGACGGCTTCTTCCATCTTCCTCTTAAGCACCGTTTGTTGTTTCGCATGCAAAGATTCCATGCGAGCCATAGCGGTGGCTCTCTTCCTATCTTCATTCCTGAGCCGTAGAAGAGCACGTTCGTTATCAGCCTTCCATTTGCGGAATTTCTCGCTTTCTTCCCGCATTTGTTTAATTATTTTGACCTACACGGAGAGTAATATAGGAAACACATTAATCATTTAATTTTAAAGTCATTTTCGAAAGTTTTAAAAAAAACAACACACACAATTAACTTAGCCCCTAAGTAAGCACTGTAAGGCTTGTGTTATGGGATACTAGGGTAACGGAAAGAATACATATACTGTACATACATCAATATCTAATATATAAAATTCTCGTGTCGCGGTGTTTGTGGTTAAACTCCTCCGAAACGGCTCGACCGATTATCGTGAAATTTTATATGCATATTCAGTAGGTCTGAGAATCGGATGTAATCTATTTTTCATCCCCTTAAATGTTAAGGGTAATCCACCCCTAATTTTTTTTTTTCATTTTAGATATATATATTTTTTTTTATTTTTTTTATGATACAGCATTAGTAAATACATATAACCCTGAATTTTCAACCCTTTAAAATCAACCCATATTTTTTTATGGCGGTACGAAGTTCGCTGGGTCAGCTAGTATTTATATAGAAATACATATTAAATAGCGGACCTCGACGGCGCAAGTGGTTAGCGCGTTCGGCTGCGATCATTAAAGTTAAGCAACTTTCGCAGTGGTCGGTCATTGGATAGGTGACCAAAAATTTACTATCTCGAGCTCCTCCATGCTTCGGAAGGCACGTTAAGCCGTTGGTCCCGGATGCATCTGCAGTCGTTAGCACCCGCCAACCCGCACTGGGCCTGCGTGGTGGGTCATGGCCCAATCTCCCTATTCCATCCATAGGGAAGGCCTGTGCCCCAGCAGTGGGGACATTAATAGGCTGATGATAATGATGGCATATTAAACATCCATGACTAAAGTAGAAATGCTCGTATTCATCACACAACAGCCACCGGAATTCGAACCCGGGAGGGACCTCTCGAGTCGGCGACACCATGAAACCACTCGGCCACAGAGGTCGTCGTAAAATAATTCTAGTCTATTTACCTTTGTGACTTTCATGGCCTGCAGTTCTGCGTTGAGGGAGGCGATCTTCGCTTCGTTCTTCTCTTTAGTCTTAATGATGTTGGCTTGCTGCTGGCATTTCTTCTTCAAGTCAGATATCTGAGCCTCCAGAGTCGACACTTTGGTACGACGCTCTTCATGACTCGGGTCTTTACTCTATAACAATATTATTATATTGAGAAAACCTTAGATCTATTAGAAATACAAAAAGACTTTATCTGTCTTTCTGTCTATAACACTTATGGCCAGTTTCGATAACTAACCTCCAGTAAACAGTAAGGATAAATGGTTACGTTTCTAAGAATCAGTTGTTATTATAGAGCGTAAGTGGTTAGCGCGTTCGGTTGCGATCGTTGAAGTTAAGCAACTTTCGCAGTGGTCGGTCATTGGATGGGTGACTAACAGGCACGTTAATTCGTTAGTCCCGGCTGCATCTGCAGTCGTTAGCACCCACCAATCCGCACTGGGCACGCGTGATGGGTCATAGCCCAATCTCCCTATTTCATCCATAGGGAAGGCCTGTGGCCCAGCAGTGGGGGCAATGCTAGGCTGATTATGAATTATACCTATTTACCTAAAAAGAAACCAACAAAAAATAATAATAACCAAATGTCAGTCGAGCAAGTGGTTAGCGCGTTCGGTTGCGATCGTTGAAGTTAAGCAACTTTCGCTGTGGTCGGTCATTGGATGGGTGACCAAAAATTTACTATCTCGAGCTCCGTGCTTCAGAAGGTAGGAGGAAGTAGACATAATAGGCTGATGATAATGATGAATCTTTCGTTCTCACCTTGGTCTGCTTCAATTGCTGCATCAGCTCGTCCCTTTCCCTCTCGAGTTGAGCGATCTTCTCCTCATTTTCTCGCAGATTGTTATGGCTGTCCAACATTTCCTTGTTGTTGGCAAGTATCGCTTGTACGACGGAAGCTTTGATCGCCATCGCTCGGTTCAACTCTTGCAGCTCTTGGTTCAAGGCCACCTAGATGATAAGATAATTATTATTGTTAGTCCACAACACCAATCATATTCCTGCTAATATTAACACATATTTACAAGTTTTATGTCAACTTTCAATTGGACGACATTGTATGAAATAAAACAGGGAGAAAAAAAACAGCCCTTGCTGAGTTTCTTGCCGGTCCTTCTCAGTACAAGGTCTCACGCCGTAGATTTGCGAACCGATGACGTAGCTTTTCGACATTCACAATTGCTTGTAACAGCCTAGACTGAATAAACGATAGTTTTTTTTTATTTTAAATTAAAAAAACGCGAAATTGCGTATGGATGTTTGTTACTCCTTCACGCGAAAAGCACCGATCGGATTTGGATGAAATCTATATATATAAAACTCAAAGGTGACTGACTGACATAGTGATCTATCAACGCACAGCCCAAACTACTGGACAGATCGGGCTAAAATTTGGCATGCAGGTAGATGTTATGATGAAAAGATTTTGATCTATTCTACCCCCAAGGGGATAAAATAGGGTATGAAAGTTTGTATGAAACTTTGACAATTTAAACTGATCGGGCTGAGACTGCATGCAGGTATAAGAAGAATCATAGATGAAATTCATTGTGAATAATAAAAGCCTGAGAACAAAAACTGCAGTCTACACTTCAGCTCTACACCGAAGCGAAGCGAGGGCGGGCCGCTAGTTAGGCATATAGTGAATTACCTAGACTGACACATAGAATACTATTAATCCCGGTTAAAATAATAGTTTCCTGTGAGTTCATAAAAAACTTAATACAACGCGGACAAAACTGCTGGCGGCAGCTAGTTTTATAAAAAGGAAAGATTTGTATGTTTGTAATGAATAAACACAAAAACTACTGGACCAATTTCAGAAATTCTTTACATTTATAATGCTACATTATCCCGGCGCGTAATGAATCTTGACTCTTTAATGTACAAAATTCAATAAATCGCGCCTCATATCCTTTTAAAATTGATGAGATGATTGACTTATGGATATGCAGAAGATTTTAATGAACCCAGTATTTTTATTGTAACACAGGATACCATCACATAGATAAGCTTGGTATTATGAGTGGCTATCAACGTTATTAAATACCCTAGACACACCATGTGCGCTCAAAATGTGTCCCAATGAAGAAGTGCTTGAACACCACTAAAGCACTTCTTGGTTCACAGTCACGCGCGGACAAGTCAATTTGCCGCAGAGCTCCGTGAAAAAATAAAAATACTTAAAGTATGTAGTGTCGTTTTTTCGACAGGTATCTAATCAATGTTTGGTAATTTAACGCATTTGAAGCACATTTTGTTGTAATAATTACTATAAACTGATTTAATAGAAAATGTTTGTGATATTTAAATGCATGGACGGTAATATAGTCGTCTCTTTTCCTCGAGGTCAGTACCTGCTATATTACTAACAGCGCATTCAGAATTACGTGTAGAGTCAAAGAAAAAAGTTCTATATTCTTCTGCATATAGCAATAAGTCGTAAAATTTTACGAGCTTGCATTTCGAACTGCCATAAATCTTTCACGCATGCGTTTTAATCAAGACCTTACACAGTATGTATTAAAGGCGACTTTCAATGGTTATATAATGCCATATATTGTATTTGACTATGCGATCATCTAACGGAGCGTTAGATGATCGCATAGTCAATCTCCGTGGATCGTCCAATGTACCTTTTGGACAGATTTCGGGCACGATTTTGTTCGTGTTGGTGTATCTAGAGTATTTAATATTGTTGGTGGCTATAAAGTTTCATAATATTGTAATGTAGTGTATTTATAAATAACACTGAGTCAGCGTTTCACTTGATTGGTATTCATTTACAGTTGCGGTCATAAAAGCTTTAGATCATTTAAGATACTTAAAGATGTTAATCCTAAGCTTGGTAAAACAAATATCTGCGTGATTAATAAGATCATTGAACTAATCGATACATACCTGTCCCATAGCTCTCTTCTCTTCTTCCAACACAGCCTGATCTTCATTGAGCAGGGCTTCTTCATCAACCTTCTCCCCTTCACTGTCCTCTTTAATAAAGGACAACTTAATTTCATGGTCTATCAATTCCTCATTAGTTTTCAGATTCACCGACTGCAAATCTTCCAGTCTCGTCTTGATTTCCTTCAAATAGTCCACAACACTCGACTTCTGAGCTTCGTCGTCCACGTTTTTATCAGTAGTATTCAAATTCTCTATAGTCTGATTGCATTGCTCCGTTAACTCGTTGAGTTTCCTCTCGATTTTGTCCTTGGCCGCTTCCGCTAAAAGTGCCTTTTCACACAAATTCGTGTTTTCAATCAGCATATTTCCCAAGTGTTCAGTGACTTGTTTGTGTTTCTTTAGCAGCTCTTGGTATCTAGCTTTCTCTCGTTCTAACTCTTCTTGCAGTTGCTCATTGTTCTGTTCGCTGACTGTAGGCGCTTTACCGATTAATTGAAGTCGCAATTCGTTTACTAAATTATTTAACCTGAAAACATGCTTATTAGTTTATCCCCTGGTCTGTGTAAATGGCAGATTTCTGCTAACGTCAAAACCCCTGTCTATGGAGATGGCAGTTTTCACCATGATATGAGTAAATTATTTAAAATTTTCATATTACGCGTTTTATCATATTTAGTAATAGTTTTTAATAGGGTATTTGACAGTGTTAAAAATAAAGTGCCAATTGCTAGCATGTGTTTAAAATGAATATTGGCAGGGGTTTTTACAAAAAAATATTCATAATTGTACTAAAAACCAACGAAAAAGATAATAGTTTTCTTATCTATTGTCACGTGACTCAAAACGCTTAGGATTGGCCGAGCCTAAAATGACGTCACACGCAAGTAAACTTCCGGTTAAAGTGACATTAAATTGTATCGTTTGACGTTTTAATAACAGTCGTGTGATGTCACACACTAGTAAGACGCCATATTGTCCAGAGAAACGTTTTCGCGGTAACTTGAAAATGGAGTTTTTGATTTGGATATTTGTACTGAAATACACAACAGAATGATGAATATCCACTTTTACGGACTCCATTAACAATTTTCAATAACGTGAGATCGTTTTCTAAAACTTGTCAAATATTATTTACACATCTAATATATAGATTACTTTATGGAGAAACTATCCAGGATTGATTTAAGACATAAATAAAGCCTGGATGTATAGAAGAAATCGAATAATAAGAGGAAAATAAAAATAAAATCCAGCCATAAAAAACAAAATGGAGGGCTAACACAGACAGGATTTAGATCGCTATTTTGCTTACATAGTTGACGGGTTAAGTATACGAAACTCGTAAACTTAAATAGTTTATGAGTTTCAGAAAATATAAGACAGAATAGGAAAACAATGATTATGTTTCGTATCAGCAGTAGAATTAACTTTTAACTAACAGTTTAATCTCTAAGGACCATAAGTTAAAATAAGTAAGAATTACGTGTTCAAACTGATGATCAACTATCAATTTAGATTTCATACTGTATTTCACTTATTTATAAACGGGCAATGAGATTAGATGCCGTGTTTTGTTCATTTCACTCGTGACATTTGTAAGTCAATGAACAATGAATGTAACTTATCCAAGCTTATTCTTTGTTTATTCATCATCATCAGCCTATTAATGCCCCCACTGCTGGGGCACAGGCCTTCAATATGGATGGAATAGGAAGTTTGGGCCATGACCCATCATCACGCGGGCCTTACAGTGCGGTGCTAACGACTGCAGATGCGACCAACGGCTCAACGTGCCTTCCGAAGCACGGAGGAGCTCGAGATAGTAAATTTTTGGTCACCCATCCAACGACCGACCACTGCGAAAGTTGCTTTACTTCAACGATCGCAGCCGAACGTGCTAACCACTTGCGCCATCAAACTCCTCAAAAAAAACTAGCTTTAAGTAATGCTGCTTTTTTGTCAGATAAGATTCCAGGGCTCCACGCGTATCTCAGTGTAGGAACAGTTTCATCAAAATTACAATCGGTAAATAATGCAAAGTTGATAATCTATACATATAATAAAATAGTAGGAAAGTCAAAACTGTACATTGAATATTTTTTTTAATGAATACTTGGGGTGTGATCTACCATCGATACCGAAGCCAAAAATATAGTTTTCAGAATTTTTGTCTGTTTGCCTGTATGTATGTCCGGGATAAACTCAAAAAGTACTGCATGGATTTACTTCAAATTTGGCACGAATGCTATTAAGAAGTCGGGTCAACATATAAGCTACATATTATCACGCTATCACCTACGGGGAACGAGCAGTGAACCTTTATTTCTAACTAACTCCAAGCGTACCAAGTCGCGGGCGACCGCTAGTTTTAGAAATATTACCTGACGATCTCCGCAGCCTTCGCGTCCTGATTGATGATGGGTTTGTTCCGGATTCGTCTCGCACGATCCGCGTATCTCAGAGTCGAAACCGTTTCGTCCAGATTATAATCGGCTGGACTCACGCAGGCCACCATAAGGGTTAAAGAGTTACCACCCAAGCTGTCTATTGAACAAAATAATGATTATAGTCATCATCATCATCATCATCAGCCTATTAATGTCCCCACTGCTGGGGCACATGCCTTCCCTATGGATGGAATAGGGAGATTGGGCCATGACCCACCACGCGGGCCCAGTGCGGATTGGTGGGTGCTAACGACTGCAAATGCAGCCGGGACCAACGGCTTAACGTGCCTTCCGAAGCACGGAGGAGCTCGAGATAGTAAATTTTTGGTCACCCATCCAATGACCGACCACTGCGAAAGTTGCTTAACTTCAACGATCGCAGCCGAACGCGCTAGCATCCTGCGTCATCGAGCTCCTCATGATTATAGTAATATATGTTATTTACGGGATTGTTGCCATGTACCTTGTTTTAGCGAGTTTCCGATATTTCGGCACTGTTGCAAGCGCCATGATCACTATGTATTCGTATGTGTAAAACCGGAAATAATCAAAAAAGTGTCGTGTCGCGATCCGATACTGTAAGTGTTGTGTGTCGAGAACAGTTTCGAGTGAATACTGAGAATGTGAACAGTGGTACGGGTATCGAACGCAACAAAAGACTTCGTCGGAGGGTAGACCGACATGTCTGCCGATAACAGCCTACCCGCAATTACTTCAGTTACTCCGTGATCATGACGCTTGCAATAGTGCCGAAATATCGGAAACTCGCTAAAAACAAGGTACATGGTAACAATCCCGTAAATAACGTATATCACTATAATGTTAGTGACCATGAAAGTTTAGAACAATATAAAATAATGATTAATAATAAAATCAGTTACTCCGTGATCATGGCGCTTGCAACAGTGCCGAAATATCGGAAACTCGCTAAAAACAAGGTACATGGTAACAATCCCGTAAATAACGTATATCACTATAATGTTAGTGACCATGAAAGTTTAAAACAATATAAAATAATGATTAATAATAAGAAAAACAACACCAGTTAGCCTAGCACTAAAGTAAGCTGTTGTAACTGTAGGCTTGTGTTATGGGATACTAGGGTAACTGATAGAATACATGAGTCGTATAGTAACAAAGGCGGCAAAGTAGGGCGAACCAAATATTTGGCAAATCAAAAAAAAACTGTTTAGTCTCGTCTTTAAGGGAGGATTTTTATAATTGACATTCATCATAACTACAAATCGTAGTGAAATGTCAATATTTTATCCTCCCTTAAAGATGAGACTAAACAGTTTTTTTTGATTTGCCAAATATTTGGTTCTTATAATACTTTGCCGCCTTTGATACTATACGACTCACATATTACATTATAGCTATTAACGGGATTGTTACCATGTACCTTGTTGATGTGTAACATCTTTCCTATCGCTTTCCTGCAATTTGTGCGAGTGATTTCGTGAAATGGGACGGAAGTGTGTAACAGGAAGTCGCGAAAGCGCGCGCTGTTTAATTTGATTTTAGAACAATGTTCAAATGGCTTATTATTATTGTAGTAGGTTTTATTTCTTTTTTTTTTTAATATAAGGTGAGGTTTCGAATGTTACACATCATACGCGACTACTGTAAGGCTCGCTCGTTTTTTTTATGAGTCTACTCTGAGAAAACATGTAACAAGTACATGGTAACAATCCCATTAATAGCTATAGTGTTAGTGACCATGATGAAAGTTTAAAACAATGTACATTTTTCATATATAAGCATATTTATGTAGAAATACATATTACACATCCAGTACTGGAGTACCGATTGTTCGTATTCATCACACAAAACTTTCGCAATGTCCGTTCATCGGATGGGTGATCAAAAACTTATTATCTCTCACTCCTCCGTGTTTCGGAAGGCACGTGAAGCCATTGGCCCAGGCTGCATCTGCAGTCGTTAGCACCCGCCAATTCGCACTGGGCCCGCGTGGTGGGTCATTCCATCCACAGGGAAAGCCTGTTCCCCAGCAGTGGAGACATTAATAGGCTGATGATGATAAAATACAAGAAACCTAAATTAGCATTTCTTCTTTCAAATGTTTAATACTTGTAAAGGTATTCATTTGAAATTGTCAGTTACCTACAATAAGAGATGGCGCTGGCAGCCTAAGAAATAAAAGAAGAAATTTGTCACGGTCATTATAGTCGTGGTAGCATAATTGGTCAGTGCACCCACCCGTATAGCGGAGGGTGTGGGTTCGAATCCCGTCTGCATTCCGGGACGGCGAGGAATTTTTTCCAATAAATTTTTTTCTGGACTCGAACCCGCACTTTTGCTTTCCGGGGAAATGCACTGACCATTATGCCCTCGTTGTCCGTGTCGAATTTTCTCTAGCATTTCTTAGGCTGCAAGGCAGCGCCATCTCTTCGTATGAATACCTTTACAAGTATTAAACGTTTGAAAGAAGAAATAGCAATTATTTTTATCTTTAAGCATTTAACTGCTAGATGTTTATAAAAAATGCGATAAGATTAAATTTATTTATTTTTCCCCTTAAATTTAACGGCATCACATTTAACATTACCTTGCAGCAGCCTAGTGAGTTTGCTGTCCCTGTAGCCGATGAAACTCCTATTTGTACCATCTCCAAGGGCCGATATCACATTGCCCAATGCAAGGAGACCCTGGTTTATCTTCACGCCTTCCTTTAACCTCTCGCCACTGGCTTTAGTCTTCTTAATGCGTTCCGAACCAGCCAAGTCTACCAGGTGAAATTTGGAAGTTGTAGCTATGTTCCTGCAGATAATAAAAAAGAGTGTGTTAATGACCACACGACTAAAGTGAAACTTCTTTAGCTCCACCTGTATATATACATATGTGTATATAATGTGTGTGTACAATATATACATGTATGTACATATACAAACATATTTAATTTACTAGCTATAAGAGAAAAAGCGCGCTCGCACAGCTTTCTCATGCTTATATCCCCCACTCAACTCCCTTTCGTCTTGCCCAAACACACTTTTCGTAACGCGTAACGCATTCGCCAGCTTCCCCCCCCCCCCCCCCCCCCCCGCCCCCAAGTACAGCGTGTGTAAAGAAGTTTCATTTCAAAAAAGGCAAACGTGTGTGTCGTAAAACACAAAACACACTGTTGGGAAGAAGTAGAAAATAAAAGTATGTATAAGTACACAACTATACACAATACACTACGAAACAGCTGACGGTTGTTACGGAAAAATCGTACACTTTTTCTATTAGCCTCCATCTGCTTAGTCAGTACCTTCTGAAAAGGAATTTTGTTGAAATAACAGCTTTATTAGTGCCAAAAGGCATCTACAGCCAAAAATGAAATTATTAAGAATACACTGTTAGGAAGAAGTGGAAAATAAAAGTATGTATAAGTACACAACTATACACAATACACTACGAAACAGCTGACAGTTGTTAGGAAAAAATCGTACACTTTTTCTATTAGCCTCCATCTGCTAAGTTAGTACCGTCCGAAAAGGAATTTTGTTAAAATAACAGTTTTATTAGTGCCAAAAGGCATCTACAGCTGAAAATGAAAATATTAAGAATGTGTATATCTCGCTCTTTGTCAAACTATGATCAACTATTAAATTTGCTCCTGGGGTGGCGCTGCGAAGTCGTCCATGATTCAGGTGGAGTCATTTCTGGCATCTAAATCTATGCCAGTATTATAAATAGAAAAGTGTGTCTGTTAGACAGCCTCCGTGGCCGAGTGGTTTGTACGCCGGGTTTCATGGTCGCCTACTCGCGGGGTCCCGGGTTCGAATCCCGGTGGGGGCAGATGTTTGTGTGATGAATACGAACATTTGAACTCCAGTCATGGATGTTTAATATGCATTTCTATATAAATATACTTAAAGGGTGTCTGTCCGCCTGTGACCTCTTCACGCTTAAACCGCTGAAATTTGGTATGGAGAAAGTTTTGAGACCCGGGAAAGGACATTGGATAGTTTTTACCCCAGAAATCTTTGAAGGGAGCGAAAAGGCGCTGGCACCCACTAGTATATACATACTAGCTGACCCAGCGAACTTCGTACCGCCATAAAAAAATAGGGGTTGGTGGAAGAAAGTTGAAAATTTAGGGATGTATGTATTTTTGTATGATGTATCATAAAAAAATTAAATTTATCTAAAATTGAAAAAAAAGTAGGGGTGGATTACCCTTAACATTTAGGGGGATGAAAAATAGATGTTGTCCGATTCTCAGACCTACCCAATACGCACACAAAATTTCATGAGAATCGGGAAAGCCGTTTCGGAGGAGTTTAACCACAAACACCGCGACACGAGAATTTTATATATTAGATAATAAAATGGTAGGAAAGTCAAAACTGTCCATTGAATTTTTTTTAAAAGACACATACACATCATACGCGACTAAAGCTCGCTCGTTTTTTTTGAAATCCACGAGTACGAAGTCGCGGGCGTCCGCTAGTCGTAATATAAACACACTCACTTATCCGTCCGGCTCTCCTTGGTGATTACGATGGTGAAGACGGCGTGACTCCTGCTCGAAGCCTGGTTCATGGCCGTGGATCCAGTGACCCGACCCATGGACCCCTGCTCCAGCACCATCATGGTTTCCATGGTCGACGCCACTGGGTGCTCGGTGATACCTACAAAATCAAATTCGAAAATAGTTTATTCATTTCCTTATGTTTTCACGCACACCACTAATTAACAGGCCTTTCACAAAATTCCACTGCTGCAGTTGAGGTAAATACTAATCATCATCATCGGCCTATTAATGTCCCCACTGCTGGGGCACAGGCCTTCCGTTACCAAGGCTTAGCGTGCTTTCCGAAGCACGGAGGGGCTTGAGATAGTAAATTTTTGGTCACCCATCCAACGACCAACCACTTCGAAAGTTGAGTTAACTTCAACGATCGCAGCCGATCGCGCTAACCTCTTGCGCCATCGAGCTCCTCAGTTTCAACTTAGTTGGTAGTTCACTCTTAAGTATCACGACATAAAGCTCACATTTCAATGTCAAACTGTGAGTTGAGATGCAGCGGAAGTGGAGTCGGTGTAATGTGCGAAGAAAGCCCTTAACCAATCTCCATTACCATAATCATGTAATGTATGCATAAGAATTACAGGAACAGTTCACAATTTCAATACTCATAGTTAGATTAACAAAAATAATGGACATATATTTTTTCTTTGGTCAATCCAATGAAAAATGTTAGATAAAAAGCGTCAAAGTTTGGCAGCGTCACGAGCGGCCCATGACGTCACTTTTAAGTAAAATTGCACCCAAACGTGACGTCATGCGACATTTCAAATCAACATATCTCTGCAGATTATGTGAATAAAGAAAAAATACGTATCCAATACTTTTTCGAAAATCTACCTGATGGTCGAAGAAAATAAAGTTAGTCTTCAACCCTATTTTAAATTCGAAAGTCACTCTTTCCGAGCGCTAAGCTTTTATATCTAAACTGCAGAACCGATTTTGATGAAATTTTACATGTAGGTAAAGGGACGAAGTACATAGTTTCCTACTTTAGTTCTAATGTAAATAAAACCTGATAGGGGTTGAAAAGGGGATATGTTTGCCTATAAGAATATCCATTATCTAATACAAATCATCATCAGCCTATTAATGTCCCCACTGCTGGGGCACAGACCTTCCCTATGGAGGGAATAGAGAAATTGGGCCATGACCCACCACGCAGGCCCATTGGTGGGTGCTAACGACTGCAGATGCAGCCGGAACCAACGGCTTAACGTGCCTTCCGAAGCACGGAGGAGCTCGAGATAGTAAATTTTTGGTCACCCATCCAATGACCGACCACTCCGAAAGTTGCTTAACTTCAACTATCGTAGCCGAACGCGCTAACCACTTGCGCCATATACAAAGTCTACGAAACTAAACTGCTCGCTTACCTGGTAAAATTACACCTTTGTTTATATCCTCTCTGATTTCAATGATGCTGTGACCTCTCTCCTTTCCAGATAGCAAATCGTAACACTGTTCCTGATACAACTCCATAAAGGAGACTGTCACTTTGAAAATAAACTTGTCCTCGTGGGTTTCTATGAAATCGAATATGTCTGCAACCGCTTGAGGTATCACACCTGATTTGAGAAAGATGGGATTTATAATTATTAAAATTTTGCTGTTAAACAAACTAGCAACTCTTGCTTCATATAAGAGAGGTAGGGCATACCGGCCCCTATTGTCAGGAAAATGCGTTACGCGTACCCCACTGCCTTGAGAGTGCGGCGAGGTTATGTGGGACCCTCCGCTCCTCCTCTCGCCCACCCGCTCAGCCAGCCCGAGGGTTGGCTCAGCGGCTGCCCGAGAGGAGGGGGGCCCTACCCACAAAAAACCGAGAAAGATGGATTTATAATTGTTAAAATTTTTGCACTTAAATAAACTAGCGAGTCTTGCTTCATATAGGAGAGGTAGGGCATACCGGCCCTTTTTTTATTTTATTTTTCGTCAGGAAAATGCGTTACGCATACCCCACCGCCTTGAGAGTGCGGCGAGGTTATGTGGGACTCCTCCGCTCCTCCTCTCGCCCACCCGCTCAGCCAGCCCGAAGGTTAGCTCAGCGGCTGCCCGAGAGGAGGGGGGCCCTACCCACAAAAAACCTGACGATGCCCCCCACCTCACCGACGGGCCAAGTGATCCACCATCTGGCGGCACTCCGCCCAGCGAGGACACGGCACTGGGTAAGGCCACGGGAACCCTTTCGGATACTTCCGCGACCTCACCAGTGGGTGTCCGACTTGAACGGACCCACCCATCATGGGGATGCCCCGAGGCATCACGGGTATCCCCGTCCATCAACAGAGGCCTGTGCAATGTAGGATCCGGACCTCCCAAGTCCGGACAACACTGGTGTCCGAGGGCATACCGGCCCCTGAATCGTGAAGAGAATGTCCGCCTAAGACTTGTCACGGATGTGACGCACACCATGTGCGAACATTTGTCCGGCGAAAATTTTAAAAAGCGCACGCTATAGAAATAAATTTTCTCAGCTTAAGTCCCGGCACGAAACTCTAGCGCTGACAGTTATTGCGCAGAAGTAAAAATGAAGATGTATTGGAGGAAACGAGGTGCGCGGGTGATTGTCTCTCTAGTCCCTGGGTTCCGAACCTGGGGGTAATTACCCCTCCGGGTGTAAATCAGCCATACTTCGGGGGTAACAAAGAACCTAATTATTTGGTCAAATCTAAATAATAAGAAAATATTATATAATAATACTACTAAACTGAGCATGCGCTCCTTCTTGCTAGCGAGCCCGCGGGGTGCTGAATGTGGGAAGCGGGGCGAGATTTTTTCCTGATGATGACATGTTAAAAAAATGTTAAAAGAACATTACTTGACACTTTAGCAAGTCGTCACATCATCCAAAGTAAGTATGATTAAAGTGTTAGTGTGTTTATATATTATGTTTATGTATTTGTATTTCATTTTATTTTTTGTTCTGTATAATTATTTATAAGTATTATTAATGGTAGTTTCACTTTAAGTGACACCATCTACTTCCTACTGTCTATGTAACAGTCCAGTAAACATACGGTTGCCTGGAATAAATCTTAGCGATAAGGCCGCCGTTTGTACTATTATGTAATAGTTTTAATTAATTGTAATTTGAAATATCATGGTGTACAATAAAGTGATCATTCATTCATTCATTATTAGAGACGAAGATGTAGCGACCAAATTGGATTTTTTTGGACTGATGATAACATTTTAAAGACAAGATAAAATCTGTTTTCCTAATAGGTTACAGGTAGTGTCCGACCGAAAGTTCGGTTTCGGCCGAGTTTCGGCCATAAATTGAGTTTCGGCGGCAGTTTCGGTTTCGGCCAAAATTGACCGAAACTTTTGCCGAAACCGAAACTGATTTCGGAAGTTGTCGTGCACGCTCGCCTTCCTTCGTTTCTCGCACAGCAGTCCATATCCTATATTGAGAAGTGCAGTTTCCTATATTGAGATAGAAGAGATTGATGATTCTTCTAAGTACAAATACAAACCAAAGTATTAATTAATAGGATTTCAAAATACCAATGGGTATTTAATGAAACAGTAAAAATTTGTGAATTGTTTATTGATAACTGATAAAAATTTTGCTATGAGAACTTAATTTGAAAAAATTATAAAAATATTATTAATATTTTTTTATATTATATTTAATAAATGATTACCTACAACAAAATTAATATAGTGTGTTTCCATTTCATGTCCTAATGAATTCTCAATAATGGGTAAAATGCACCAAATTTCAGTATTTTAAGGAATTTTAATCTTGACCACGTGAGTTTCGGTTTCGGCCGAAACCGAAGCCACGATCGAATATTCGGTTTCGGCTGGAAAACCAGTTTCGGTCGGACTCTGGTTACAGGGGTAGCAGTATTGGAAAGGTTAGGAAACACTGCTCTAGTCGTACCCATGCGCAGCTATCCCTGACGCGTTTTGTTCATCGCTACAGTTAGGTGCCGCAACCTGTACGTTGTGTTGTAATTAAGTAAGTGAAGTTTAAGAAAAAAAAGAAAACGTTTTGATAGAGAATACTGTACTGGGTTCATTTCTTTAAATCGGATTGAGCGCCTAAAGCCGACTAAAGTTCGCTGTGTAGCGATGTGCGACTACGAATGATTTTACCTTTCGACCAATTCTTAATTACTAATTTGGCTATTCGAAAGGCAAATTAGTAGTATACTAATGTCATTATTCGAATAACGACTACTAATTAGTAATACTAATGTCAAATTTACAAGAGCGCAACGAATAAAGTTAGGTTATTCATTCGCTCGTTCATCATTTGCATTAGTTTAGTTAGTTTCCGTACGTTCGTACTTGGCACCTGCTACGGTAGTCTTGTGTTATTAATTCTTATTTTTGCAGTGAAAACTATAATTACCAGTGAATTTGTTTAATATTACTTGATTTATATATATTGAAGTGAAACTTCTTTATCGGCGTTGGAAAAAAATTTACCGTCACATTTTTATTCGGTTACGCGTCACGTTTTTTGGTTACGCGTCACGTTTTTTGGTTACGCGCCATCTTTTTTTTAAAAGAGCACTATTTACCTCATCCGAACAATTGCTTCTTCTGTCAACTTTAAAAAAAAAAGTATCGACAGCAAATATTCGTGTTTCACACAAGGTAAGGTAAGGTAAGGTAAGGTAAGGTAAGGTAAGGTAAGGTAAGGTAAGGTAAGGTAAGGTAAGGTAAGGTAAGGTAAGGTAAGGTAAGGTAAGGTAAGGTAAGGTGTAGTTATACCCCTTTAGTGGGTGAGTTTTTGAAAAATCTTAGCGCACGCCTATATATATATTTCTGGAAAGTTGCATGTAGATCATTTTTCGAAAAAAAAAAGGCCATAAAGAAGTTTCACTTCTTACGTGTGTACACTAGTACACGCACACATTTTTTTTTAATATAAAGAGTTTATACATCGATCTAATCATTAAAGAACGATGGAAAGTAGTAGTACCCTATTGACTCTGCTCATTTCTTTCACTCGTCGAGTTCGCCCGACCAAGCCCGAGTCGACCCGGTTTGTTTGTCTTCGTCACGTACCTACGCCAGTTGAGAGTCGGTAAGTCGCCGCCTGATACCTTCGACTCCATTCGAATGATATAAAACGCAGTCGACTTGGAGCTCTATTTTTGAATCACTCGTCTTGCGTCGAACGCTCGATTTCTACTAAATTTCATTGGACATAATTAATTCCGTATTTTTGAATCGCTCGAGTGCAACGAATGGGTGAGACCACTCGCTGCATGGCGAATGGTAGAATAATTGTCAAATTTTTTGTGCTATTAGATGACGATAATCTGTCATTGTCATGCTTTATATGAAACGACAACGAGAATTTTTTGTTCGGTTTTCATTGCGGTAATTACCGGTTTTTATTTTTACTGCGTGAAATGAGTAAAATTTCATATTTCGTATTAGACATGTAACACCGGTGCGGTGACGAGTGATTCAAAAATACGGAAAATCAGTATTAAGCGACTTGAAAGTCGAAGGTGACTTATGTCGCATTCGACGATACTATGTCAGACGAGTGATTCAAAAATAGAGCTCTTGGTCGAATGATTAATATTAGTATAAGTACGTTGCTGAGCCTAGTCACTTGAGTTCTATTTTTTTTACGGCATCTTCCGCGTACTTTTCTCCAGTCCGGCCTCTCAGTGTCCTCGATTTTGCGGGGGTTTGGGATTTTTTCGTACGCGGTACTGTTAATCCGTCGTGTGCATTACTCGATGCAGTAGTAACGGATCTGTTTCGGTGGACAAAAAAATTGGCTGACAAATCCCTCGTCTGCGCATCCTTAAGGAACGCTGCATATTTTTTTAAGGTATGTCTGACTATAACTTGTTTAAAGAGTGTGTGAATATAAAAATAGCTCACCAAGTTTTGTTGAATCTCCGTCAGATCCTGAATAATTGGTACCCATGGTGTATGTTTTCCCAGAGCCCGTCTGGCCATATGCTAGTATTGTCACATTGTAACCTGGAAATTATCAATTTGAAAATTAATTAATACATGGTATTATAATGATTATGTAAATAGAATACAAAAGAAACAACAAGTCAATATTATTTTACGTGAGTCTGACAGGAATCAATTATTATTTATGTCGATGGGCAGGTTGCGTTATATTGAATCCCTTCATATCTAAAGAAAATATAACTAGAAAAAGTTCCACGCGGACCAGGCAGCAGACGGGACTCGAACCCGCACCCTTCGCAATGCGGGCGAATGCACTGGCCAATTGCATAATAGGTCCGTGAGGGCCGCGGTAGCATAATTGGTCAGTGCATTCGCCCGGATTGCGAAGAGTGCGGGTTCGAGTCCCGTCTGGTGCCTGGTCCGCGTGGATTTATTTCTAGTTATATTTTCTTTAGACTTAAACATCAAGCAGTTACATGCTTTAAAATAATAGGAATTATCCCTTCATATATTTAATCTTTAGTTATCATTAAGGTTTATAGATTTATAAAACAATAATTAAATTTTACGATAATGTTTCCAAATAAAAACATCTTACAGGCTGGTCATACTCAGAGAAGTCAACTAACTTCAAAGTTTAATCAATGTTGATGGTTTCAATTTCTTTTTTTTTTTAATTGACTACCCCTCCTGATGTTAAGAGCAGCAGTTATGAACTGCCATACCTACCCAACCACCTTGCCCACCTACAGAAATGCTTCTACACGCCTCGATTGTAGGAAGGAAGGAACACGTGCGCGACCAAAAAATTCCACTAGCGAATGGTACGACAAAGTAATAAGTCACCGAATTTATTTTATTCGTGTACGAATAGAGGCCACATGAAGTCGGTGACGATTTTCAATTACAAAAGAGTCATGTGATTTTAATGGAGCGTTACATTTAATCGACATCTCTATATTTTCTTACGCATAGTCAAATCACACTAATATTATAAAAGCGAAAGTTGTGTGTGTGTGTGTGTGAGTGTGTGTATATTTGTTACTTCTTCATGTCTAAACGGCTGTAGCGATTTTAATAAAATTATGTATGAAGTTAGCTGACACCCTGGATTAACACAGAGGCAACCTTTTACTACGGGAAAATGTCCCTAATAAACCGCGGGTAACACCGCTAGGCACAGCTAGTCATCAAATAAATACATACCTTGAAATAACCTTCCTATTAAACCTTTGACTGCTGTATCATAGAATTCTTGCTGTGTTATATGTTGTGGGAATACAAAGTTGTATGTGAACGCTAAGTCTTTGATCTGCACTTGGGGTTCCCCATTCACAACATCTATACACTCGTCGCATCCTCTCTCTATCTCCTGTTTCATCAAAGGCCGGATGCGGAGGGCCACCTGCACTGTGTCAATGGTATTTTTGTCTCCTTCAACCATTGTTCTGTATTAACCAAAAATGTTTATATTGAATAAAATTTAATTCTATTTCATTTGAAAATCTTTCTCAGTCCTTTCTTCGCGCCGATGACCAGGGAAACGCCGAATTTGACGTCTATACTTTTTTCGTAAAGATGTTTATGTCAATTTCCCCAGCTAAGTGATACCTTGTGCATTTATCTGCAAAGAGGTTTGTTTGGATAAAAATATTGTACGTAATATTGTAAAAATTAAAACTAAAAATACCAGTCAGATAAAATGTATAGTCAACCCCTTATTAATAAACGCAGAATAAGAAATAATTAAATAAATATATTCCCACACCCACGCCAATTAGCCTAGCCCCAAAGTAAGCACTCTAAGGCTTGTGTTATGGGATGCTAGGGTAACGGATAGAATACGTATACTATACCTACATATATAAGTATACTAGCAAACCAGTGAACCAAATGTACACCAAAAAAAAAATGTATTTAATTAATTGAGAACTTCCGAGATTTTGAGTGGTTTCGTTTGAAATTCGTGATTTCTCGAAAACCGGAAGTGCTGCGTTTTGTAGTCTTATCTACTCAAATCCGGTTTGTAGTCTTATCAGACTATTCTTAACTTATAACTTAAACATTCTCTTTATCTATCTCTTATGGTTTGGCCGCTGAAACAGCACCACAGACAGACAGACGGACGGACGGACGGACGGACTTGTCTAATAGATAAGAGATTAATATAGAAATACATATTAAACATCCATGACTGGAGTACAAATGCTCGTATTCATCACATAAACATCTCGGGATTCGAACGGAGGACCTCTCGAGTCAGCGACACCATGAAACACGGCGCACTAACCACGCAGCCACGGAGGACGTCAAAAAAAATCTCGGATTAGTATATCCATGTTTTGTCTCTGTTCGTTGAATGACATATGGCATTTGAGTGACATGAACAAATCACGGCGTAACTAATCTAAGCTTATTCCTTGTTTAACAATAACGGGGATATAGTTTCGCTATGAGTATCCGTTTGCAGCTGAGCTCCGAGACTAGGACCCGTATTAATAAATCGATCTTAACTCTGAAAGCGATCTTCAGTACGATCTTAACTTGGTGTTTTGTATGAAAACAGTCTCTCAAAATCGTAGTCTCCGACTTGAGAGCGATACATTAATACGGGCTTAGAACACTGTAATTTAGCGTGGCTTATACTATATAAGCCACGCCGAAAGAATCTATATATATAAAACTCAAAGGTGACTGACTGACATAGTGATCTTTCAACGCACAGCCCAAACCACTGGACGGATCGGGCTAAAATTTGGCCTGTAGGTAGATGTTATAACGTAGGCATCCGCTAAGAAAGAATTTTGATCAATTCTACCCCCAAGGGAATAAAATAGGGAATGAAAGTTTGTATGAAACTTTGTCAATTTTAAACCGATCGGGCTGAGACTTTGCATGCAGGTATAAGAAGAATCATAGATGAATGTCATTGTGTATAATACAAGCCTGAGAATAAAAACTGTAGTCTACACTTCAGCTCTACACAGAAGCGAACCGAGGGCGGGCCGCTAGTGGTAAAATAAATTCTTAAAAAATTCTATGTATGTATATTTGTATTAAGCCCGACGGAATCTTGGGCCACAGCGCTAAAGCGAAAGGCGCTTCGGCGGTCAATATTCGAAAATCAAAGTTCTTTGCGTCAATTCGTCATTGATCGAGGACTAGATAACCTCGATCATATATAATAAATAAAGAATGCCAGCTAATATTGACTTAATATATATTTACAAACAAAATAGAACACATGAGTACAAACAACGTATCTAAGCAAGTAACAACCAAAAACTTGAAGTGCATGTCAGTCAGTATATTCAAATAATTCTGACAACCACAAACCATACGAATAACAGCAATGAGATTACACGCAAATATAAACTCCTAGCAATTTGTCGCTCTAACACTCCTCCTTAATCTCATGCCTGTTAGTGTACCTACCATATAAACAGCCATCTTATTCACACACAACTCAAACCCATGCTTTTCACACACCATTCAAATTTACCTCTCAACAAACACTTTGTCAAAACATCAGCTGTCATTCTATTAGTTTCCTTGTACCTCAAATGAATGTCACCATTCTCAATTGCCTCACGTACAAAGTGATATCTTACATCCACATGCTTCGTACGCTGGTGATGTACAGGATTCTTAGCAATTGCCATAGCCGACTGACTATCAGTGAAAATTGAGATTGCGGGATTGGGTCCATCTCTTAATTCTGCAATAAACCTGCGAATGAAAATTGCCTCTTTTGCAGCCTCTGATAACGCTACATACTCAGCTTCTGCAGACGATATTGCCACTGTACGTTGTTTCTTGCTCTCCCAAGAAATAGCTCCTCCTTGAGATAAAAATACCCAACCTGAATTTGATCTTCTATCAAAGTCTCCGGCGTGATCTGCATCAGCATAACCTAATACAAACTCATTTTGGTTTCCCCTTCTATAGAATAATGCTAGATCCTTGGTTCCCATCAAATAGCGGAGCACTCTCTTTGCAGCTATCCAATGCTCGTCTCCGTAGCTGTTGTTAAACTGACTGAGTTGACTTACTGTGTGTGCTATGTCAGGGCGCGTACAAACAGCAAGGTACATCAGTGAACCAATCAATGCGCGATACGGTACTTTTTCATCAAGTTCTTGATCAAGCTGTGGCCTCTCTAGCCTTTGTCCTGGTACTGCTGGAGTAGCAACTGGTTTACAGTTCTCCATTCCAAATGTACGAATAACCTTCTCTATGTATCCCTTCTGATCCAGTTTGATCCCTTCACTATCTTGTGCTATTCGTATTCCCAACATCAACTTCGCTGTGCCAAGGTCCTTCATCTCAAATTTGTTTGTGAGATCGGTTTTAACCTTCCTTAATTCCTCAACATTATTCCAGAACAATAAAATGTCATCTACATATATGGCAAGAATAATTACTTTATCTCCTACTACATCAGTTTTATCTGGCGTTGTTTGTGTGTACTCCCATAAATCATCGTGAATTAGATATAATTCTACCAAAAATTTCCAAGTACTATAATTCGAATTTCCATCGAGTTTCTCTATGCTCATACCTGTGTCGTGTGAAGGCTGAGATCTCTCCGATCCATCGCTGCTCGAATTTACCTTCATACTATTTCCTTGTGTAGCCATATTTTAAGTCTTCTTATATTTATCATATGCGGCCCATAACCTGATCGAGGACTAGATAACCTCGATCATATATAATAAATAAAGAATGCCAGCTAATATTGACTTAATATATATTTACAAACAAAATAGAACACATGAGTACAAACAACGTATCTAAGCAAGTAACAACCAAAAACTTGAAGTGCATGTCAGTCAGTATATTCAAATAATTCTGACAACCACAAACCATACGAATAACAGCAATGAGATTACACGCAAATATAAACTCCTAGCAATTTGTCGCTCTAACAGTCATTAAGCGACGAAGATTCCGATCTTGCTTCTATCTCGTAGAGCAGCTACTCAATGCTTGAAATTATAATCAGACAGCGTGAAGATCGACGCGAATTGTCGAAGTCATTGTAAGACACTGTACCTGCAACCTACAGCAGCGCTGAGCCGAAACGGCGTGCGTGCCCCTTAGCTGTACTTTGCACTCTCTTATCCTACCTACAAGAACAGTCTTATTTTCTCACCTAAAAAGGCTGATCTGACCCGAGAAATTACATGCCAATTACTATCACCTCCCTACCCTCAAAGGTGATGATGCGTGTAATAAATGCGAAACTCCTTGTTTATTTAGAAGGACGTTATAGTTTCCCTTCGATTCCGTCAGCCTAAGCACGTCTTAGAATATCCCGACGACGAAATCACCCGCGCCAACGCGCCTCCGACTCCTCCCACACAGGACACAAACACCAACACTACACAGCAAATTTGCACACTAGCTTAGCAATAGGCACCCGTATGATAAGAGTGCGAAGACCCGGTCTAATCTAGCAGCTAAAACAGCGTTGAGACTACAAAAGTTTGGGCTGGTAAAGTTCGAAAGAAGAAGACATCTCAACAGTATACTGAAGGAATGGGTAAACACTCCGCTCATAGAAGCGGCATGTGTCAAAATTATACCCGCCTTTATCTTTGACAAAAAGTACAGAATACATCTACTGGACGACATCGATCCAAAGGTAACAACACAAGGCTCTCATGATCTACACCGACGGCTCAAAAACCTCATCGGGCACGGGCGTGAGTGTTTTCTCTAAGGACCCGAGGGAGGTCCCTTTCTGGGAGGATACTGTCCGACAACAAATCAGTCTAACAAGCCTCTATGGTCAAATCGAGCCTCCTACATGATTGCCACCGAACCTTAAACACGGTACCTCGGCTCACCGGGAAATCTCCAAGAGGCAGTCACCAATATGAAGGCCCTGGGGGCGTTCCTAACAGAGCTGGGCTGGCTGGAATGATTCCAGCTACACACCCTCCTCATGCAAAATAGACGCCATAAGGACGTCGAGTTGCGGAAACGCCCGTTGTAAGAAAAAGAAGAAGATGGGGATAAACTTTGATGCCATGGAACGGCATCATTCATTAATTAATTTTCGCGTTATCGGATACTACAATACTAGCTAGACTGTCATTCACTTGGCATTGATAAACGTATGACGTGATTTATCTGGTACCGATGCGCATCGATAAAGAATATGTAAACCAATACACATACTTAGGTCAACATTTTTTTCACCAGATTCACCAGACGACCAAATGCAGAAGGAAATAGAAACAAAAATAAACAATTCTTGGAACAGGTATTGGTCGCTCAAAGAAGTAATGAAAAATCCTCAGTTCTCCCTCAGTGGCAGATAAAAAGAAATTATTTATAACTTGTGTATTACCATGCATGGCATATAGTTGCCAGACATGGGTTTTAAAAGATAAGCAAAGAAAAATTCTACAAGTATGTCAAAACAGGATGGAGAGGAGCATGGTAAGTGTCAATTTGAAAGACAGAATAAAACTAACTAATATAAGGGCTAGAACTGGTGTGACAAATGTGACATACACAGTGTAGGACATATAATACGAAGAAGGAAAATGAAATGGGCCAAGGAAGTTATGGTGTGGTAACCGCGGGATTGAAAAATGAGGTGAGGAAGACAAAGAGAGAGATAGGAGGCTGAATTAAAAGTGGCCGCAGGAGAGGCATGGAACAAGAAGGTTATGGATAGATAGCATTGGGATACTCTGGGGGAGATCTTTTCAAAGGGCAATCAGATTAATAACTTAAGTTTAGTAAATTTAATACAGTCAAAACCGTATATAACGACATTGAAGGGTAGTTATAACGATAGTTTTTATAAGCAATACACACAAGTGGTCATATTATTATCATATGTTTGTATGTACTATGGTTATAGATAATGACTATAAGCTTGTTTTCAAATAAAATATCAAAAAAAGAAGTAATAAGTTTACTATGAAAAACTGTACGTACCTACAGAATATTTTGTTTTGCTGGAACAAGTAAAACGATAAGTCGTTATAGCCGATGAATATCCATAAGAACTTTCTCAAGATTCATTGGCTACAAGTTATTTTAAGCAGTATTTAGTGCTATATCCGGTGTTGTTATAGGCGGTTTGTTTACTATAGGTTTTGGTCAGGACCTTGATAATTGATTATAATAACGGACACGTCCTTATAAACGGTGTTCTTAAATTCGGTTTTGACTGTACATGTAACAACTCTGTCTGAATAAAGGCTTATTTTATTTTATAATGCGCATCAATGTCACAAATATCTAAAAACACCCATTTCTAGTTGTGGGAGCCCTTAGGCCACAGCCCTGCCTACCATAAAACTGGCCCTGTATGGACAAAAATTTCAGCTATCACTATAGTATTTATACAATTAGTATCAACATTTTGTCAAGAAGAGCTGGGGAACTTATTGCTTTTGTGAAAGAATCTCTAGAGAAAAGCTGAGAAATGGAAATGAACATATCTCATCAAATAAAGATTTTAATGTTGAATCTTCATCTGTAGGTGACGATCAAATAACTAAAAATATCATTTTAAGGGTCTCAGTGAAGGTAGGTGTATATATTTTTTTTATCCTCTACCGAAAATCCCAGTCTGACACATCGCAGTCTGGTAAATCTTCCAGCAACAGAACTTCGATGAGGAAAGTATGCAGAATAAATAAATTGACTATTAAAATGCAAAATTCAAAAACATTGAACGAAATAATGGGAAAATACAGAAGTCTCATCCTATATTTACCCGTAGATATAGCATGTGAATTTAAGTACTATTAGTTTAGCACAAAATTCGAAAAAAAAAAAACATTGTTACTCTAGTTTAGTTTCGTAAGGCTTTACGTGAAAATGTACAAACATGTACTTAAAAATACCTATAAGTTTAAATACATTAAACTAACTTAATAATAAAGCAAAGGTCACTTACCTACAATGCACTACTTTGTACTACTATAAAATTAAAAGTTTTTGAAAAGTTAACAATCACACACGAAACTCTCCGATGACAGCTGGTACAGAAATCAAACTGATTGACCGTTAGTGTGACCAAATTTTAATCTACAAAAATACCAAAACACATTTTATATTCAACGACTTTACAAAAATTAATAGTCACCTTTCAAAAAAGGATCTACATTAATACAGTCAGAAATACATAATCAGGGATAAATATTATGCCAGCACTTAACTTGGCTATTGTAGGTATTTGATATTTGTAAACTTTACAACAGTCTGTCCTATCGTGCTTCATAAGATATGAAAAGGACGGACTGATCGCCGCTCCTGTGCTTGTTTATTTTGTCAAATACTCTCCGAGGCATCTCGTTCTGTAGTATTTGGGCGCTTTCAATTTATGCGTTTCTTGACGGCCTGCTGCGGTGCCAAAGCGGTGCCTTTGTCGTACAGCGTACAGACGATCCTTTTTTTTTCACTCAAAACGCTTGGTGCGGCAACAGTGCGGCGCCCGGTACCACGAACGTTCGACAACAGGACTGTTGCCGCACCGCGCGTTTTGTGTGAAAAAAAGGATCGTCCGGACGCTGTACGAAAACGAAAGCGCCCTTTGATTTTGTCGACCAAATTGTCGAAAATTAACTTTTAATGCAGTGGTATTTATAATTAAAATTACAAATCATGTAAGTAAAAAAAATTGCATATATTTTTAAATAATAATATATTTTAATTGACACGACATCGTAACGAAAAGTTTGTGCATGTTTGTTCTATCTCTATTAATCCTAGATCGTAAGAGACGCTCTGTGCGTGAGTGGTCTATGTCCACTTTATCGACTAATCATAGAACGCGACGTCATGGCCGCCATTTTGTTTACTCTATGGGTACGGCCAGAGTGCACTCAGATTCAGATTCAGACTCAGAAAACAAGCGCGAGAAATAAACAGTGTAGTTTAAGCAGGGTGGCCATAGTGGCAGCAGGCACTCTGGTCGTACCCTACGGGTGCGGCCAGAGTGCACTCAGATTCAGATTCCGAAAACAAGCGCGAGAAATAAACAGTGTAGTCTAAGCAGGTTGCCTGCTTTTTCTCGCGCTTTGTTTTCTGAGTCTGAATCTGAATCTGAATCAGGAGGGCACTCTGGCACTCTGGCCGTACCCTTCGACTACACTGTTCATTTCTCGCGCTTGTTTTCGGAATCTGAATCTGAGTGCACTCTGGCCGTACCCGTACCCTATCACTGCACTCACTCTGACTGGAAATATCATAAGAATCCGACTTTCTTACAAAAAAGGCATCGCAATATTCTGTAAGTTAATGTTTGTCTTTGTGCTTATATTGGTGTCAATTCTGGCATGATTCTCTAAACCTAAACTTAAATTTGACTTTTCACTATAGAGAAAGAAAAGGAGGGAATTATGTTGAAATTAGTTTTAGGTTTAGAGAATCATACCAAAATCGTCATCATCGACCACTTCACTTAAACCGGCGACAATCAAACTTTGTTTTTTTTTTGCAAAGTGCCGTTTTCAAAGAACTTGTGGTGGAACAATTTTTTTCACTGAAGATTGAAGAATTGCCATCACAAAATAAGAAAAAGATGTTGTGTTCAGTATTTTTTTATTTTCTTTATATTTCAATTTAAATGCAAGAGAGCCAATCATTGCAGTTGTCAAAATGTTTTTGATAGCAAATTGACTTCTCGAATCAATACGAAACAGTAATTATATTCGAAACAGATGATTCTGGCATGATTATCTAAACCAAAACTGAAATGTGACAACTGTTTATCTTTTGTCATTCTCTATACAGAACGAAAAGGAGACCCTGATGTCAAATTTAGTTTTTAGTTTAGAGAATCATGCCACAATTGGTCGATACATTGGTGTCGATTCTGGCAGGTTTCTCTAAACTTAAGGCTACCATTCACAGGCGCGCCCATCCGCCGGACTTGTCGCTGGCGACAAGTCCGCAGACAAATCCGCGTGTGAATGTATTGGTGAGCGCGGCTCGCGGCTCGGCGCGGCGCTCACCGCCAAGAGACGCGAGCGCCGCGCCGCACCCCAGCCGCGCCGTACAAATCCGTACATGTGTGTGCTTGCACAGATTTATCGGTGAACTTGTCAGTCACTTGTAGTGCGTGCAGGCAGTTGTGTTGTTTGTAACACGAACGAGTAAACGAGTTTAATAATAACATGTCGTTCGACGATCATAAAGAGTTTTGGCAAGAATTTATCCTGCTGTTTATAGAGAAAACTAAAGAGAAACAGGAATAGAATAGAATAATTATTTATTTGCGTTTGAACAGGGTAATCAAGGTCATAAATAGCTACACATAATTATACTGTAGGTTTCACCTATTCAGCTATAGACCGTAGCATGCAAAGGAGATTGCTCAAATTGGCCCAAATGTACAAAAAATATTGACATATACGGTAATTCTTGGTGCAATTTATACTTTATTTTACAGTCATTAGATTTTAACGGACACCTTTGTATATTAAATTTATTTTCAAAAGGACTTTTAATTTTACCGGTTTGAAAAACATACGAATCATTTTTAATGGCTATGGATGTAGTAACATTCAGCCAAAGACTGATCGAAGTTGTTTATATAACATCAAAACAAATCTATTTTGTAAATATCTATAAAATAAAACATTTTTTTATCACACTATGGTATTTAATATCAACAAGTATATTATCATTTTTATTACTTGCAAATGTGCTAAGACATATATTATAGATGGTAGGCGACATCATAAAGGCTGTATTCCGTAATATTTATCAGTATACACCAGTGCTAGTGACGTCATGAATCGACGCTTTACTGGTGAATTGTTCGGAAATATACTGGCCAGTGAACTGACGTCATAAATCGACGAAATATTAAAAATAGTGCGAATAAAGAAGATTTTTTATTCACTTCATCCATTAAAAGTAATTCCTTTTGTTCGGATACCATTATTGTTCATTAAATAAAAAAGAAATAAAATTCGAATGCATATCACGCACACTCAGTAATACGTCATATTCGTTTTCCCGGTAAAAATATGGTAGCATACCAGTATAATATGGCGTCGGATTAGTGACGTCATTACCACTGGCCAGTATACTGATGTATATTTCGGAATACACCTAAAGTCTATTGCCATACATTTTTCGCCAAACACCTCCATAAACACATTGTAAAGTGTGATACACTAAAAATCTAAAATATGGTTTTAATATAAACATAACAAAAATAATAAGCTTTCTTTAGTTAACGAGAGTTTAAAAATTCTCTATAATCTGTGGCTGATTAACAAATAACACATAGTTTCTGTCACAGAGTACCTTATTATAACCGGAAATGCATAGACGATGACCTGATTTTAAAAGTTAGGCAACTATCAATGAATCTTCATGCTTTATATACCTGAATCTATTACATAATTTCGGTACTTGATTTGATTTCCCTAGTTTGCTATATAACTTATTTGTTTTGTATTATTTTAATACCTATGTACCTATTTGCAAACATAACCTCAAAATCATTCAGTGTATATGGTTTATAGACGTTCCCAGGGGTGTCCGTCAATAATATTCGTTTCTACAGTAATTTATATATAATTTCGAATCTATGAAACAATTTTTCATGATTATTGGTCTTTAGGCCAAACATGTATGGAGGCTGAGCAATCTCCTTTACATAAGTGTTTAATCAAATTAATTAATACTATGTCACATAATTGAATAAAAATTACTTAACAGGTCACAAAATAAATAGTCAAAAATATAAAAATTCGATTAAAATCAGGTCATATTAAAATGTGACTCAAAAATATAATATTTAACAGGTGGTTTACAGGACTGAATGGATTGCAGCAATTTTAAATGAGTATATTTTGTTCGTTGTTTCAGCCATTCCTTTGTTCAGACACGCTTTTTCTTTTTTTTCTCCGTTAAAAGTATTGCACCGACTACTAAAGGGACTTTTGTGCGTTTGGAAAGCACCGGTGGCGTGCTAGGGTAGGGAAGAACTATACGCGCGAGGCTCACCAAAGTACACAAGCGACTAGACTGCAACTTGGCGCTCGTGTAGTGTGTGGGCAATGACGGATTTGTCCACAAATGGGTACGGCTCGGGGTTCGGCTCGCGGTGCGTGTAGTGAATGGTGGGCTATACATTCACACGCGGATTGGTCCGCGGACTTGTCGCCAGTGACAAATCCGGTGGATGGGCGCGCCTGTGAATGGTAGCCTTTACACTTCACCACAACGGATATGGCCAGGGTGAAGTGCTGCGGGTTTTGAGTTTCTTGTCTTCTGTCATTATGACTTTCTTTTAGTTTCGTGTTCTTTAAAAAAATATATAAAGTTTTCTTCAATATAAAATAAAGAAAAATATCATTCAAATAAACTAAATGGTTTTTGAAGAAAAGGGAAAAAGCTAAAGACTACGCTGTATGGGCTTTAGTTCTCCTTGCCTTACCCAAAAAGGGAGAATATTTAAAAAAATGACATATTACTGTCAAAATGACAGGACATATCGACTGTCAGATGTCGAAAAACGAGCGAAATTTTGTTTGGATTTCGATGTTCAGCATAACGTGCGATATTCTTACTTGTAAAAACAGTGACAATTACATTTATCTAATATCATGTGTATTTTAAGCTAAGCGTTGAATAATCCTTAATACATTATTTAAGTACTGTATTGTAGATAACGAAATAAGTGAACATCATGCCTCCTCAAACTCGACGTAGTAAAACTGTGAAATCTTCGAAGGAAAATGTTCCACCAGCCAAGTCTAAAATTACTCACAAAGTGACAAAACAACGGAAAGCCCTAGCTGACAAAACTAATTCGGCCTCAGACGATAATTTGTCCACCGAGATTGTGAATAAAAATAAAAGTCTAACTGCTTCATCACCATATAAGACGCCACAGAAAAAATCTGATAGCAGTATAATTGTTAACCGTCCAAAGAGAGTGTGTCGTTTGCCATCAAAATTCAATGATCATTCTATGAGTCCAAATAAATTTATTCCTGTTGGTTGCCATGCCAGTACTCCAATTGTTCAAAATAAAAAAACATATATTCCACCAAAAGGTGCACTTAGTGAAAAAATAACACCAGTGAAAGAAGCTAAACAAAATAATTTGCAAAATAAGAGAAGCCCTCAGAAGAAAACAAATGCAATAACTCCAGCTAAAACAGTTACTGAGCCTCTATTTGTTAAAGTTTGTATA